TTGCCTTATATCTTCTATTCATATTAAATATATTGTTCCTTCTCTAGCCTAACCTTGTTCTACATCATGTATTGGTAATTGATACGATACAGTGAGTTGGTGTAGTCGATGGTGTGACTTCCACGTAAGATCTTATAGATTAGGCAGTTATATCATGACAAATCTACAAATTTAGGATTAGGTCTATTATTAGAGCAGTACTAATATCATAGTAGACCATAATACTACATTGGTGAGCCCAACTAAAGAAACGCAACCTGTTATTGTTAATCCTTATTTCCACCCTAACCTTCAATCGGTTTTTATTTTTGTAAACGCAGTATTCTAATAGTCCTTTGATTAATGGTCACATATATTATCGTAATGTTATATCTATTAGTTCACATAACTTACTAGCTCAATCGATAATAAAAGTTGAACATCTATATCAACTAATTAGCTTTGGTGGTTCGTTAACAAGCTTTGATAGCATTTACCTGCTTCAGCGACATAGACTTGTTTAAACATCAAGCTCTAGCAAATATAACCTGTATATAGCGTAAATATACATTGACTAGCAATGCAATCAAGGACTAAATAGTTATCTGAATCTAATTCTCAGTGTTCCTTCACTTAACACCTCACCCTGTTTTAAACTATGCACTATCCTGTAATATCTTTTCTTCCGACCACTGCCTGCCTAATTTCATATTTTCGAGTTCCATTGCCAAACAACAAGGATGACACTTCTCCAAAAACATACGGTGAGTTTCAGCTATAAGTTTTCTGCAATCATAAGGTCATTTTAGATGGTTCATTCAATGACAACCACACAATTATCTGGATTCATTCGATTGTTCTGATCCGAGCGAGTGGCAAAAACGTCAACAGCATCAAGCACCCTGGAATTAATTGCCATACTGCATGTTTTATTCTGGATACTTTTGGATCATTACTACTCACGAATGGCGTTATATATGTCGTCCACTGAATAATCTAATTTTCAAAAATAATCAAGGCGAGTTCAACTATTTTACTTAATGATTTTTTGTACTTAACATGTATATGTTTTCCAGTTGCTTTTGCAATATATTTGTAAGTGTCCCTAGGCTAAATGCAGTAACTTCTTATGGAATGTTTATAACGCGTCATATTCCTGCCTGAAGTTTCATAAGCAGTCCTAACTGGTCATGTTCATTATTTTTAAATTGTCATATACGTCAACAACCTGCATGTTAACCTGGCCCATACATACGTTACACTATATCTTCATGTCTTCTAAATTTAGAAATCATCTGAATCGCCTTTAACATTTATCAATAAACCCATCATAGTCGTTGTTGCTAATCGTATTTGGGTTTATGGATTGGTTTATCATATTAGCAGCCTAAAATGCGAACATAGTTTAGATAATAAGATTAAAAATTTAGGTACTATCAACTGCACTAGTAAAATAACTAAATCCCTAGGTAGCTGTTGGCTAAACAAACGTTTAAAATCAAAACTCCGTAGCCTACTAGAATTAACACTAAACGAATATTTCTGAATTGAAATTTATAATTAAATTAGGCGTCTCGGATTCTTTAACGTTATAAATTTCTGATAATTTCGAATCACCTAAAGCAACAATACCTATTTTTCCACTGACTAATCCTCATCAACACTATAACTAGTTAAACATAATAGTTTCAGGATATCGTCATAAAGCATTGTCATGACTTGACAATCACGTAATATGATTGATAAAATTAATGAAACTATTAACAAAATCGGTCAGCAAATTGACTTATAATTATCACTAGTGTTGTTTTTCTTTTATCTTCATTCACTACAGATGATTACAGTATGTTTCTCTATCAGTTGCTCATTCAGTAAATATCTCAAAACCTTGTCAGTCTAATTGATGGTTTAGCGACACAATCATGCATGCAAATAATCAGTATAAGCAGTCGAGCAAATCTCCTGCAAACTGAAAACATCAATGTCGAATTTACCCCAACACTGACTAAGGTTCAAGCCATTATCATAGACATGAGTTGGGAGTGTACTCCCCTGGTTACAACTTATGTTCTCCCTGATAATCACATGAGCATCACTCACTATTAATCATCTTGTAAAAACTTATTTAGCTAAATACATCTTGCAGCACCACATCACTTCGTAATATGACACAGGCTTAACTGATTTTAATAACTTATAACCACTATATCTCAATTAAATCGTATTCCGCCTTATGATAAACTGCATACTTGCAACTAACTTGTATGCACCATCAGCCGGCAAGTATAAATATAAATAAATAGTCTATGGCAGATCAGAACATTGAGTCTAGAGCATGTCTCTTACGAATACACTCATGTTTAACGATTTGTTCCTAGCTATCTGTCCAAAATTCATATAATTATCACTCATGTATTTAAATTTTGTTTTGATAACCATTCATGTGTATTAGTAGTATTACTAAATTCTATCACGGTCAAGTAAAAATGAGGTTGAGAAAATCTCCCCGTAACTAAATAAACCGTATCAAACTAACTGGAACACTAGTTGGAATTCTTCTCCACGGTATACTTTTGTTCCTTCAGTTAGCCTACTAATACAGATGCAATTGGAATTCAACTCATATGGACAACTTACCGGCATAATCGTTATTTGATTTCATAATTTAAACCAAAACTAATACCAATATTAACATTTCTACAATATTCATTACTTTAATATTTCTAAACACAAAATACTTACTACCTATACGTTAAGTTATTAACCAACGGCTATTAACACGCATCGTTTTATTATTATTATATTATTATTGTAACCCCATTTTTTATAGCTCAAATAATCTTCACCCAAATTTTCATTTCAAGCGTTTTAAGCATGAAGGCAGATATTTTAAAATTATTACATGTATTTCCCGACCAGATGCTGCCGCCTTCTTTTTGATTTATCTTTCAGCTTATCATTACCCGGAGGATTCTTACTATTCTTGGTAACCTCCGGCGCGCGACGATCCCATCCAATTTGGTATCGAACCAACATCACGTTGATTCTGGTGGGAGAGTAGTGTAGTGGCATTGGACAATAGCCACACAATCCACAAAGCTGTGAACACGAGACTACTCAGAAAATAGATATTCAATATTTAACGCGGAGAAATACCTAACGATGGAGAAGGCGCGAACAATGAATTGAATGGACTGGAGTTGATCGATGGCATGGCTCGGCCATGCAGGCGTGGTCTCTGCCGAATGTTACCTTATATCTTCTATTCATATTAAATATATTGTTCCTTCTCTAGCCTAACCTTGTTCTACATCATGTATTGGTAATTGATACGATACAGTGAGTTGGTGTAGTCGATGGTGTGACTTCCACGTAAGATCTTATAGATTAGGCAGTTATATCATGACAAATCTACAAATTTAGGATTAGGTCTATTTTTAGAGCAGTACTAATATCATAGTAGACCATAATATTACACGTTCACTTGAGGTCAACTGTCGTTTCAATGGATCGACAGAAATATATGCTTCTGTGCAAGGATGGTTGTGCACGGTTTTAATAAAGGTGAGTTTCAACTCACCATTTACTGCCCGGACCCCAAATGCTGATTGACAATGGCAATATTTCGACCTGAATGATAAATTCATTTGAAGTAAGGCATACGTAGATGACCGACGTCGTCTCCTTTGCCTAGGTTGTGTTGGCGAGTTAGAAGTTGTATGCTCTTCAGAAGAATGATTATTATTATCATCATCCACATCCTGAACGCAAGCATCTGACTATGACGAACGGCGTTTACGTCCATATGTACAGACATATCTCACGAAAAAGTACTTTAGAGTTGGATCATCACTGTTCTTTTTGCATACTGACATAACGTACTTAGTATGCGTATACTAAAAACATAATTTTTAACCTTATGCACTTCTTTCAAACAGGTCTCAAAATTGTCCCAACTTGTAAATCTTCGATATAACATAATATCATTGAAGATTCGTCCTATATCATGCATCATCACGATGGCATCGTCTTCGTTACTTGAAGAATGAACGTTACCAAACACCGTGTGGCTGAACTCAATTCAAATCTAAAAATGTCTCGATTTGACCGCTTCTGAAAATTTTCACGAATTGTCGATGTGACGCACCAATCATTTTGCGACAGTTTGACCTTCAAGTGCTCGCAACCCCCATCAGTGGACGATACCCTAGGAGCGTTGCCTATCAAGACTTCTGTTGTCAATTTAATTGAATTTGTTTCAGTTAAAGTGTCTTTGGTCTGAATCGAAATACTTTAGTTAAGGTTTGAAATCTTGCTAAGGTTTGTCTTCGTGTTGTTAATCGTTTATTTGATAACACGTCTTTTCAGTTACCGTGAGTACTGGGATTTGCCCTGACGATTTTATCTATCTGTATTAATGAGGAGAGGCAACTTCAACCAATGTACGACGTTGCATATATGTAAATAGCCATTATTGAAAACGTTGATAGTGTTGCAATATAAGCACTGCTATATACAATGCGGCACGCCACTATTTTGACTGAGAATGCCTCTTTTAACTTCTTGGTCCATGGGTTAATTGTAATTAAAACATACAAGTTCTGAGTTTTTTGTGCGGTTTTCTTTTCTTGTTTACTTTGTAATGACCTACTTTTATTAAAAGAATGCGATTGGTGTCATGGAAAAAGTTATTATAACCACTTGTACCAGGGATCGTTTTTTCATAGTTGTTTGTTTAACTGTACCAAAACACATACACTTTTTTGTCGGTTGTGACCTTCCGCAAGTTCGGTTAGGCTCAGTAGCTACTGCTTTGGTACGATCTCGGTATTCTTTCGATACCACGAAATCGCCAACAAATACATCTCGACTACAGCCATCAACTGCCTTCTGATATTTGGCTTACGGGGGTCTTATCGGCTAACTGGCACGTAGTCTTCCTGTAGTGGTGATCATAGTCAACCGTGACTCGACGTCACACAACAACTTATTTCAGGGAGGGTTTCAATTCATCTTAGAGTATGGGAGGAAAAAAGCACAGAAATTTTCGAAGGCCAAAATACGAAATCATGCGGTAAGATATTTTCACAGTCTGTTCATTCGTTCTTGCAGACATTCAAGACATGAATTCAATTTCTCCGTTGTTATATGGTTACCTCTTTTACCACTTTTGATTATTTGTATCGGAGATTACTTCAGAAAGAAGACATCATCGAAAAAAGATGTGTGCTGGGAAAGCCTGAATAATAACGTATCAGTTTCAAGAGAGGCAGTGGATTGGGTCTCAGCTGAGATTTCTCATCTTCGTAGATTATTTGACCTCATGTGAGTGGAAATATCACTTTTTTATATTATACTAATCAAATTTGGATTTGTTTAAGAATTTCTTGTATTTTGAATGCCGCTTAAAAAACTCATTCACGATGGAGTGAGTAAAAAAGTGGTCTTCGTTATCAACTGGATAAAGCTGTTGCGCAAAATAAGTTTAATTTTGGGTATTTAGTCTTCCAGTATGTAGTTTGTTTAGGGAAGAGTAGCTAATAAAGTATTTACTTACATCTTTACTCTATAATTCATCATTTGATATTTATTAATTAATCATCCAAGCCTGCGTCAATAATGTATCATCATGGTACCTGTTAGTTTAATTAACTATTCTTTTCGGGGTATCCAGTAAAATTATCTTTACTGGGAATGTTTTGAGCTTTGTGTGGATGTGTCAAGGTGTTGATTCCTAAACTGTCGGACGTTGTACATATATTAGAAATTGCCAAGACAATCCATCATCAATAAATCTATATTAATTATTAACCACTACTTCCAATGTAACTAATCTGATTTTGTAATTGAATTCCTGCTTTTGAGACTGATCGGTTGTTTAAAAAAGAAAATCATAGTTTGACTGATAACAAAAAGAAAGTATTGAACGATGTATTCATAGTACGAACGGACATTATTAATGAGTACACTTCCGGTTATTTAATTTCTTACTTATGTATTGTTAGTTATCCGTACTATTCTATTGAACGATGTAGTTCAGGAAAATATACATCAGAAAAACAACTAACATCACCATAACAACACTTACATAAAATCCAGCTTTATTAGATAATACTAAGGAACTTTTAACTTTTCTGTTTCAGTGAAAGTACCTCAATCAGAACAAACAAGAAGGATCAGATAACAAGTAGGTTTTGTTGTTCGTTATTCAATAATAGTTGTAATAATAAGAATGATAGTGGCTTTATTCATTACTGTGTTCAGTAGAATATTGGACTTTTATGATAAACTATCTCCAAAAGTTCCTCTTACTCTCCTAAAGATGCGAAATATATCTGCATACGTGTATAAGTGAAATAGGTACAGCAATTATCTCTGCGTTGATCTCTTGTTACTGAACGCCTTCTAGTTCTTTTTTAAACAATGCTTTAAAGTAAATCACTTTAAGTTGAAACAAGTAAATTTTCGAATGATTTATAGTTTGTAGTTTAAATGTTTGAGAAATAGGCAGTGAAATACTGAGATTTGAACATTTCTAATCTGGATTATACATGTCTAATAAAATATGTAATTTTTATTCATCTCACATGATGGCAAATATATTGTGTCATGTTAAACATACTTGTAAATTTACACACTTCGATCAGATGGATGACAAAATGGCGTAAAAGATAACGAAGACATCTTAACACATTTTATTGTAATGAAATCCAAGATATCAATCAGTTAGGTGATTCACTCATTCAATCTACGTAAACGAATGAAAGTACTTCCACTGCGTTCGGAAGAATAGGTAAATATTTAACCGCAATTCGCAGTCCTTTTTGATTAGTCGAATACCGGTAATTGGTGAGTTATTCACTGTCCTTTACATCAATTTCAAACATTTGTCACAGATGACACCTCCGTTTATTTTCATTTGAGTATAAATTTAGTTGGTTCAGTGGTGAATATCAATCTTGTGAGTTGATAGAGATTTGTGGTAGATACAACAAGAGCCACTGAACTTCGGATGTATCTTTTTCACTACACGGTATCATGATCTGTGTGAGTATTTTCTGAATGAACTCTCTCACTAATTAACGTATAATATTCTGCTTATTAGTGTTTACATATTCTTATAACCTCAGCGTTTTTTTTAAAAAAGTGAAAGTAATTGCCTCCTAATTATGACAACAATGCTGTTAAATTACTTGCGATGCTTCATTAGATTACGAGTTCGCCGAACCTGCTAACCTGTCTCACTGACTGGAAAGAGGAGTCCAGGTTCAGAAGAGGGAAAAATGTTTTCCACAAGCACAAACAACAAGTACAGCTCAAGTGAATATATACCGCATAAAGATGTCTTTGAGAAACGTTACAAAATAGCATGTTAAAAGAGACAACGAGCCAATAAAACTTAAGATTCTCCCAGATAGGAAATACGATATGAGTGTGTAAATGGACGCTTTGGCGCGACAACAATAAATTCAAATTTTCAAAATGAAATCACAAAAACAAGACATTTACTGGATCAGCTCTGGATATCTAGCCTCATCAACATTACTAGATATTGTCAAGTATGTTTTGGTTTGGAGCACAATTTGATTCCTTAACTAAGCAAAAGACATACGGATGGGAGAGATGATCAGGTAAACAGATGGAAAATAAATTTAAATTTATTCATCAGATCAAAGATATCATCTCCATGCACTTTTGTGTACAGAATGACGTTAGATTGCAAATGAGTTAAAGTTTATTAACTAAGGGAGACGGATGTCAAAATAAATTATACCGTAATGTCAAATCTATCCAGGCGTCTAGCCACGTAATCGAAGTTCGAGTTGAAAATAAAGACTTATCCAAAAATGATTCTATCAATAAAAAATATATAAACTGGTTACAAATCTCAAATTATGAGGCTTTTGTATCGATCAAAGCATCTATATGTACGGAAAGGAAACAAACTTTCAGAAATGTTTGACTAATGTCTTACTTACCTGCTTACTTATGCCAGTTACTCGTAGTGCAGCATAGGCCATCAAGCAGCATTCTCCAACCCACTCTGGGCCTTCCTTTTTAGTTCTTTGCAATAGTCGTTCATTCTTCTCTATTTCCCAGCGTGATGTGTTGTTTTGTTTTCCTTTCCTCCTTTGGCCTTAAGGATTCCAAGTAAGTGCTTGCATTTTCACGCATTTGGATGCTTTGCTTAATGTGTGTACTACCTACCTCCAGTAATTTTGTCTGATTTACTCCTCAGCTGGAATTTAGCTTGTTCTCTCCCACAGTAGGTTGTTGCTGATAGTGTCTGGCCAACGAGTTCAAAGTAGTTTGCTCAGACAGCTGTTAATAAAGACTTGTATCTTCTGAGTGATGGCTTTCGTAGTTCTCCAGGTTTCCGCTCCATATAGCAGAACTATCTTCACATTCCTATTGATAATTCTGAAGTCGATTTTGGTTGAAAATTGTTTTGAGATCTTGATGTTCTTCAATTTTAGATATGCTTTTCTTGCTTTGCTGATCCGTGCCTTCACATCTGCATAAGATCTACCTTGTTCATCAATGATGCTGCCCAGATCTGCAAAGGTTTCTACATCCTTGAAAACTTCGCCGTCAAGTGATTTGATTGGTGCGTGTTGTTTTGCATCAGAGAGTCTTGTTTTTTCTTCGTGTATGTTGAGACCTATTGCTGCTGGCACTGCTGCTACACTGGTCAGATCATCTGCGAAGTCCAAGTCGTCCAGCCGCATCCCATCTGTGCACTTTATCTGGTACTTCCCCCAAATGTTGACGTTTTCATAATCCAGAAGAAAGAGGAAGGGTTTTTGAGTAAGCAACCTTGCCTGACACCGGTTTTTAACTCGAACGAGTCTGCGAGCTATCCTCCATGCACGATTTAGCAGTTTAATCCATCATAATAATTCCATGTGATGTTGAATATCTTCTCGGGCACGCCGTAGTGTCGAAGACGCCTTCGTATTGTTTCCCAGTCCACTCTATCATATGCTTTCTCGTAGTCAATGAAGTTGATGTAGAGTGATGAAATAAATTCAGTTGATTGTTCCACGATGATCCTTAGTGTTGCGATTAGGCCGGTGCATGACCGATTCTTACGGACATTAGCCTGTTGGTCTAGATGTTGGGCGTCTACAGGGTCCTTCATTCTGTTGATGACTTTTGCTGGTATTGAGAGAAGAGCGATGCCTTTGTAGTTCTCACGCTTGCTTGTTCTTCATTCCAAATCTCGCTGAGGAGAATGTGGATTATCTTTGCAGTTACTGCTACCTCTGCCCTCAGTGCCTCTGCTGGAATGTTGGCTGGTCCTGCTGCCCACCTGTCTCGTTGTTCCTCAATGTTGGTGATTACCTTGCCTTCCTTGCTTTTCACTGGTTGTTCTGGCTTACGATAATTTCCAGCGAGCTTCTTTGTTGCATCATGCAATTTTCCCGTGTTTCTTTCTCTTGTGGCTTTTGCGACATTATTGTTTGATCTTCCACACATGATGCTCCTATTCACTTCCGTGTTTACCTTTGTATATTCAGCTTGTGTCTTGGATTTCTATACTCTTGTATGGCTGTTATTAATTGCTGCTTTCCTTCTGCTCCTCCTTTCTTGAACCTTATCCAGTATATTAACAGTGATCCATTCCTTGTGATGGTGCTTCTTGTGACGCGGAACCTCATGGCATGTTGAAGTGGTTGCCTCCTTGATCCCCTTCCAATTGTTCTTCATGTTAGTTCTCTCCATTGAGTAGATCGCGAAAGGCCTGGATAGCATCAGTGCAACGCCTTGTCTAGGTGGAACATTCAGGTTCCTTGAAGCTAGTCTCTGTTGTCCAACCTACATACAGCATGTTTCACTAGTTCCAAACACATCCAGGTTGTATCTTTTCATTTCAGTAGCAACTTGGATGACTCCCAGAATTCCATGTACCTAAATTAATAGTTGGTCTGATTGTCAGACGGGGCAAAAGAATCTCGGCTTTCACCATGAGGCGTCATAACTCTTCTAAATGAAGACCTAACTTTCACGGCAGAGTTTGAATGATTTGAATTATGTTTTCTGGTTAGTGTTTTTCAGTGGGTTAGTTTTCTACGGGATGTGGTCGCTAACCTCATGCCCAACCCTCCTCCTTTATCCGGTCTTGGGACCGGCAGTAGCCCGCGGAGGGACTCCAGGCGGAGTCCGCCTAATAACTGGTACCAAATGAAGTTTATCCGAGACCTATTGTCTCATATCTGATTGGTTCGTCCATAAATTATAGTCTCACCGAAATGTTCAGTTTGTATTGTGTAATAATAATGATAATAAGGTGAAATATTTAACTTTAATGTTTTTATTCTAGATGTAGATCGAATAGGTATTTCTCATGAAACACTTAGACGTCGTGCTTTGAATTACATTTATGAAGCACGATACACTTTGAACAATTTACGCAAAATTTTTACCCAATTAAAAAAAGTTAATCAAAAGGAATTGGACACTGAAACAGTTTCATCGATACAAGCATCGTTAGTTCGTTATCGACAGAATATGGAGGAAACTATTTCACACTTGCAACTTATTCTTAACAAACTAGGTGAATTAGATGAATTTTCACAAATCAGAAAGAATGGCTTAAATAAGCTTTCACAGCGATTACAGGAGAAGATTCAAAAACAACAGGTTAGAATTTATTACTTTTGTATCACTTTGGAATAAGTCAAGTTCTTAAACTTGTAAAAAGAAGTGGTTGATTGATCGAATTAATTTCTACAAAAGTACGGCATTAAATAAGACCTTTGAAAGGACGTCCCATTTGTCCTGAATTACTTATGGGAAACTTTTTGCATAGAATGAACAGTGAATATACAATTGACTTGTTCTTTACTACGTTCCAGTCTAAAAGCTCATTCACCAAAAGTCAACGCAACTGAAATCGAGATCACGTGATTCACCTGAATAACACATATTTTATTGGACTATCCGTAAATACAAAGGGTAGGAAAATATATATGAAAAATATAATATCTATCTCACTGATTGGAATCGTGAGTCAATTGAAGCTAGACCACCATGGAAAACCTGGAAGTACTGGACGGCCGTTTCGTCCTAGAATGGGACTCCTCAGCAGTGCGTATCCACGATCCCGCACCCCACGAGACTCGAACCCAGGACCTATCAGTCTCGCTCCAGTCGCTTAACGAACTAGACCACTGAGTCGGCCGGCATCCAATGGTGTTAATGTCTAACTTTAACCAATCCACGAAATCCAGCTTCAAGTGACTCATGATTTCAATCAAAAACTTAATAATCTCCACAACACCTAAACTAATATTTGCCTTGTTGACTCATTTTTTTCTATCCTCTAGCTACTGTTCGGTATGTTATTTATGTCTCTGTTTTTCCCTGTGTTGTTACTCTGTGTTGTTTATTTTGTATACTAACAGTGTTAATTTATGTTTTAAAAAACAGATAAAGTTTATCAAGCCAAATAGCTTCCTTGTTCTGACTTTGGCTAAATCAAGAATTTATGCTCGACATTGTAGAGAATAGCTAAGAGTTACACTTGTAGGAAATTGCTTCCTACACTGACTATCTATGATTCTGTCTAAACCAATAAACAATCATTGTGCACTGTAATCTATGTGACCATTTATCGATTGAAAAGTGAAACATAAATTCGAATTCATTTGGTTGGCCCCATTTGTATTCTCGGTCACTACACTGTCACCTATACGACAATTTGTCAATTGAAAACTGAGACACAAGTATCAGTATGGTACGATATAAAGTAAATAATTCAATCATCACCACCATATATATCTGCATATCAATAATATCGATTCTTATTTAGTCGAGATTATCCAAACCTGGATTAAATAGTTCACTATAGTTATGTTGTTAGTCGATTAGGTCACTTTGAAATAGGTTTCAAGTGATATTCAGATTTTATCAAGTCAGACAACGACCGCAAGATCAGAATGTATTTGTTAAATATAACCCGAAATGTATCAAATGTAAAATTAATGACGAACGTTATCAGCCTTTAAATCATTCTCATGTTGTATCTATGAAATTGTTGTGAATCAATTTTACAATGTGTTTGATTCTTAATAATAAATCAAAAATTTGGATTTTACCTTTTGATCATATACATATAGAATCCATCAGATTGTAAAAAGGCCAAATATATGACATTTGACTTCACTAATCTGTGTGGATTGGGTTGTTGCATGCATCAACTCATGTACTGTTTACAATTGGCTCTTGAAAATGAGCGTGTTCTAGTATTGAAGAAACATTATCCTGGAGATATATTTCGAGAATGGCTTCATCAGAACATGTTACCACTTTCTGAAAAATGCAGTTATTTGGACTCAGATAATAGATCAGGTGTGTAAACGATGTATTTATCATTAGTTTGTTGTAAATGTCAGACCTCAGTGATTATCTTGAACAGTTTAGTTGAATATTTTCAATTATTTTTTTGACAAAAACACATGTAAATACGATAAATCATTGACTAGAACCCATGAAATAACATAAAGTTGTTTACTATCTACGTGAAAGAACGAGTAAACAACCCTTATTATTAGCAATATTTCATGTTCCATTGCTCCTACTAATATGGATAGAACCTTACTCAATCGCCTTTTACAACTGAGTAAGGTTCCACCTCACAAATCAGCTAATATGGTTGGTTGGTAGGCAGTCGATCTACAAATTACCATACAATTTATCAAGCATAAAAAAATATTTTCATTCTTTTGTTTACTTCAGATAACATCAATTGTCCTTGGATTGTAAAGGCTCCCCAAGTGCATAACTGGTTGCCACATGTTCTCCCGATAGATATGAATAAAGAACTATTACGTTTACACGAGGCACCCTTTGTTTGGTTTGCTGGTCAACTAGCAGCTTACATTTTGCGTCCAAAGCCACAATTTGCACAATTAATCAATGTAACCTTGAAGAGCTTTAAAACGAGTGGTGATCCTGTTGTTGGCGTGCATATCAGGCGTACCGATAAGGTTAGTGTTTGTTCATATACGTTGTCAGAATATAGTATGATGCACTTAGTTGTTCAGAATCTAAACAGTGAATGTTGAGAATGAAAGACACGTTTCCAGTTTTGTCTTTGGATTAAAATACTTTTGATAACTGGGCTGGTCATTCAGAAATCATTATCATCCTGTTCAACAGAATACTGGTTGGTAGATTTGGTTGATTTTGATACACCTGCTAATTGAGTAAAGTTTCAGGCTTTTCAAATTTCTCTGAGATTTTTTGCTTCTTCTGTCGAAGTTCGGACATTTCTCCAATTTGATTTACGCTAAAAATTATCCACAAGCATTTATATAAGCACATCTACGTCAAGGCGAATAACGGTTAACCAACGCCCATACAGGAATGGACTGAAAGTGTGACCGCTTTCCACGGTGTCGTATTTGTCGCAGTTTCTCTTGTGTTTTATGTTTCCTTGCTTTTATTTGTCATTGTAGCTGTGGGTGTTTACAATAAATATTGTACCGGCTTATAGGCTGTACTTACTTCTTATAGTCTTACAAAGCTGTTCGTGATCTTGCTGATGTTCTTCGGATAGAGTAGAATTCCCCCCTTTGCTGATGTTTAGTACTGATTTTGTATTTGACGTTATTAAAATAACCCATAACTATATATACGAATGTACAGCTTAAGTAAATGATTTCGTCGAAAAGAACATTTTCTTCACCGAATTCTATTTTTTTTATTTGACGTAACCTTTAACAGACATACCTTGTTGATATTTTTTATCAAACTATTTCTCAAAATGCATCCACTTTCTTTTCCCTGTGATGCTTTAAAATCTTTACTGTTTTGAGTAGTTTTTATAAATATCATATTTTTGCGTCAGTACGATGTCGCTGCTATAAGTGAGCATTCGACTAGTGTGGTTTGTCTTTCCGCATACTCATTTTGAAGTTTCTGGTATTGGTTGAATCTCCAACGTTTTCAATGATCTTTGTCAAATAGATTTAAAGTTCATATGAGAGAATAGTGTATCAAGAGTCAGTTCGCCAGCTGACTTTACTATAGAAATTGAGTAGGAATATCAAGTTTAAACGTTTTGGTGTAAATACTTCATGAAGAATAAAGTTTATGAAAATATAAAGGGGATTGAGTTTGGAGCATCTTGTCATTGACAACTATAGTTTAATATTTTCGAAATTGAATGTTCTCATGATCACATCTTGCACTTGTACTCTTTTTTTATAGTTAATTTGGGAGGCTTTGTTTCATAACTTATCCGAGTACATGGAACACGTGGATAATTTCTTTGATTTACATAGTGTTCATCTCTTGACAATGTCAAAGAGACATGTAAGTCAATAAGATGATCTCAGTTGTATTTAATCAATAAATGAAACTTCGTCAATTAATTGATCATATTTCAATTCATGATTAATCACAATGAATGTGTTATCCATTATGATGTGTTGTACTTGATCAAATGTCAATTGAATTAAGATGTATTCTAAGATGGATAGTGGCTAGCAGTGGAATCCAGGACGCGCGTTTCGTCGGGACTCAGTAGCTAAGTGGATAACGCGATGGTGTTTGAAGCGAACGGTACTAAGTTCGAGTCCCACAGTGAACATCAACTCTGAGATGCAGGTACATCCAGCTGACGAGTCCCAAACAGGACGAAACGCGCTTCCTGGATTCCACTGCTAGCCACTATCCATCTTTGCTTATAATGCTTGTAAATTAAGGCAATATCGAGGCATACGCACAGTATGCACATATGCCAATAAGAGACTGATCAATTTCAGTCCAAAAACATCAATGAGAAGATTCAAGTAAAACAATATCAAGTGAATTAAGATGTATTCTGTTCAAGTGAGTTTTTTGAGTTATAGTTCTTCATTAGTATGTAGTATAATAGTAGGTAAACGATAGTTGATCAGCTTAACTATGGATCTCAGTATTTTCCCTAATGATAAGAATATATAATTCGTAAAATGGATGCACGTATAATTAGATGGCTCAATGACTTAAACAGATTAGGTAAGAAGTGAATGATAAAATTGAAATTGAGTACAACTGGAAGGATTAAAATTACATGTAGAAGGCCAAGGTAATTGAGTACAATTTATGTGCATCAAAATGAACTTACTGATATGCATGGCCATACTTTTCGTAATATGAAAAGGAACAGGTACATGTGCAATGGACTTTTATGGATGACCTTATAAATCAAATATATGAAGAGTTAGCGTCTAGAACTGATCAAAGCATGAAATGACTAAAGAAGAAATTTCAAACTTATTCTAGTAGTTGAACTGTTCCTACAAATAAGACCTCAGTTAACAAATCGGATTTCTTTATTATCTTCACCTCCATGAACACTTATTAGCTATCAAACGTCGTCATGTGCGTTTGCTTATCTCAAGGCATGTGGACAAGTGTGTAGATATGTCAAACTAAAAAAAGTGTTGTTATTTGAATAAAAAGAATGCAAATGAAACGAGATAATTCTGGAACTCAGCTGAGTTGAGAATAAGTAAACAAACAGACACCGATTCAATTCATCAAACAATTAGGAAGATTGTAAACAGGATAAATCAAGAATCAGGTCAAAATAAGAAGGATAACAATAACTATTCAACGTCAAGATCGACAGGAAGGGTTGTCTGTCACAAGTGAAGAAACTCCAATAACCTACTTCTGCCTGAAGTTTACAGTAATGATACTAGATACTGAATTTTATAATTTATCTTATCTCATTCAGACCGACTACTTTATTATTATCATTAAAAAGAATGAAACTGCCTTGTCATTCTTGAAACTGTTCGGGTATAAATAAAGAGAGATTTGTATCATTGTCTGAAAAAAAACTATTAGAAGAAGTTACTGTGTTCAGTAAAAACGAAATGTTTATTTGGCGACAGATGATTCTAAGGCTTTTACACAACTTCTCCACAACCACTCAAACTACAATCCGTGTAGATTCCATAGCAGTATAAGGCGGTTATTCCAGGTTTTCAGTAGTTGTACAGTTTGGATTTGTTCGTGATTAAAATAATATTCAACAATCTGCACAAGTTTCATTTCAGCTACTACAAAAACAATTAAAATGTTAGGATTGTACCGTCCATAAAACACTGGTTATCACGATAACATAAATTGTAGTGTTATATGGTGTTTTGTAAACAAAACGTGGTGATTTGGGACAGTTAGGGACAATAATGCCCCCAAATGCTCTGGTACGGTCGACAGTAGGGAGAGTCAGCTCTCCTGCTCTAAGTGCTCTCACATGGCCACGCGTATATAGCCTCCGCCAGGGAAGTCCTACTCACTGCCTTCTCATGGCGGCGTTATTGTTTACAAAAATGAGAGGACGAAAAGCGAATGTCCAGCGCCTTAACCAGATCCCAAACTAGTGGTGCACATGGGTTCCAGTATCCTGAGGGAACAAATGGCGTATAAAACAATCGTTGGTCACCGGGTACCATGGGAATGCATCTCCTTACGTTGCTCCACTGCCTTGTGGATCAGACCTTCAGGTCGAAGGCTCATCGAGTGGCCCCCTAAGAAAACCACCTGCTTTGGTTTGGGCACCCGGGCAATATTACAGCCCTAACACATATCAAATGAGATTTGTGTGATGCATATGTATTTGGTGCCTCCTTGTGCCACTATCTATGTGTTCAAATAAATAATAAATAAGTGAATTAACTTTGTGTATCTACACTCCATATCGAGTATCCCGCGTACAACCTTCACAGAGTATGTAACTTTCTCTGTGGTTATCACCTCAATTTACGAAATATTTTATCTTTTTTGCAAACCCTTTCTAGCTAACTCAATATCATATGGAATAATAAACAATCTTATTCGTTAAATAATTTTATTCAGGCAAGCTTCATTATGTTCTCTAACTCGTTTATTACCAAGATAAATGACACAACACAAATAATCCGAAGACATACAGTAATGTGAATATAATCCATTCTTAATCTCAGACTGTAAGTACGTGAATAAGTTCTCATCTTAATTCATGACACATCCTCAACATCTAGCAGTCGTTGATTACTCAGTCAGTAATCTTAGAAAAGTAAGCTGATCATGTAATGGGCGAAATCATGAATTTAGGAAATATACAAGTACTTGGTGTTGTTTACTTGTATCTCCCCATTGTTATCTAGGACTGCAAATGATTAGTCTCTTGTTGTCATATGTGCATCGTGTGCGGACTGCACCGATATTGTCTTAGGTCACAAGCTTGCGGGTACATCCAGCTGACGAGTCCGGAATAGGATGCAACACCCATCCTGGATTCCACTGCTAGCCAAATATGTAACTACTGTTATAAGTCAGTCTTCATGTCATATGATTTCCGTGATTTTAAAACGTTATAATGAAGATGTAATAAGATATTGCTTTAGCAAATCAATCAGATCAAATGCACTTTGTCGATGAATTAACCTACTAGTATCAAAACCTTCAGTTACTCATTCCATTTGAATATGTGTACCTCTGCAAATTGCTAACTAATCTACTGGAAATCCCAGTGGGTTTACCGTAGACGAATGTATTATGCTGTGTTAAATTCCCCAGCTAATCAGCACAAAGTTGCACCATGTAAAAATCAATCGGTATTCTAAGCAAGATGAGCATGATAATGCCAACTGGTTAGTTGTCTGCATGTTTTGATAATGAGGTTTTACAAATATCAAAACTGCTACATTCAGTTAATCTTACTGATTGAGAAATGTAATTCTGACACTTATGCTCATTTATTGTAGTGTGAAGGAAACATGGAAAGTTTCATCGGGATGCACTGGCATTATCCTGAAAGATTTTCAGAATATTAACATACAATGATTCAAAGTTATGATATCAGTTCAATAAGAAACAGTAGTGACTTAGTGTTAAATATTAATTAAAGATGATTTGAGAACAATTTGTTAGTTAACATGTAAAGCAAAATGCTGTGGAATATTTGCTTGTTATTGTAGATTTGAGGCTGTGAAGTTTTATTGTTTACATTACAGTTCAATCTCAGGTTGACGGTCATTAAAAGTGTGTGAGCAGTGGACATGTTTATTTCAGGAATCGATCTTGGCTCACTTGTCTGAAGATTCGACTTTATTTATGGTGCTGAGTTTATTCCATAAGGGAGTCATTGATATAGTCCCTTAATAAAACGAGATAGTTGTTCTATACACCCTAGTTTTCCACTCCTGTCTAATTGAGTCTAGACCGTAATGCAAACTATGAACTAAGAAGAACTCACTCTATTTTTGTTTTTAAGAGTTCGGTTTGAATGAGTGGGAATTGTGTGTTATGAGAATAGGAAATGTTTCCAATGTTATATTATATCTAGTTGTATCACTTCGTATTCAGACTGACTACTTCATCATCATTATTACTATTATACGGAATGAATCTAATTTGTCATTTTTGAAACTGTTAGGACATGAATGTGGAGAGATTTGGATCAGTTTCTGAAAGAATCATTAGAAGAAATAATTCTGTTCAGGCTAAGCGAAGTGTTTACTTGTCGACAGATGATCCAATATTTTTACTCAACTACCCTACAGTTATCCAAACTACACCGTCTATGGTAGTCGAGGTAGATCGCATTCAGCTAATTTAAATATGCGGATGTCAGTTAATTCAATGAATAACGCAATTATTGACATCATTGCACTTTCAATGACAGATTTCCTTGTGTGTACATTTTCATCGAATGTAAGTAATATATATATATATGTTGACTTGTATTGACGACAATATTACACGTTGTCTGTTTTGACTGGGATTTGAAGTGAACAAGCACGTTTGAATAAAGAATTCACATTAATTTTTACAGAAGTGAAGTTGTTATTGCCACAAGATTGAATGAAAATCGTTGATTAGTAATGATATAGAAATGTAGAGGTCTTTCACCAACCTGTTCTATGGTGACTTCTGCCGCTAACATCATTTCATAGGAAATCATAGAATTAGAAAGCAACCAATATTAGATTGAAAATAATGTAAAATAAAGCGTATAGTAGTCTGTCTACTTCAAATATTATCAGCAGAACATTTAGATTGTGTTCATTAAAATATAGTTGTGAATTTTATCTTTATTACGAACGAGTTACTATGACTAGTCTATAATTACAAGTTGAAGTAGTGTAAGGTCCCGATAAACATAATGAATGGTAACTTTTGGGATCCATTTATGGACCAATAATAAGTGTATATTTTTATTGTATAATTATTAAGTATATTAAGCATATTCATATTCTTCTTATTATAAGCGTTTTTTGACCTATGAACTATTAGTATACGTTTTACCATTCTTGAATTATGCCCTGTCCATTAGTCACTGCCTCACACATTCACAGCCACATTTGGCCAAATTTTGTACAAATGTTATTTTCTATTTTATTGGTACGATGTGACCTGTTCGATTGGTATATAAACTCAGTATATTTGAACTATAAGGATTCATATTGCAGAAGCTGAGACTGGTGTTCTGGACTTAACTGGCTGGGCTAGGCGGAAAGCAGGATTCTAGGCTGCTCGCACGTGTTTAACGCATCCTTGGTCCGATCGATAATTCACAGCTTCTCATTGACGGCTTTGGGCTATAACAAGTAGAAAGCGAATAATGTTTTGAGGATTCATGTATTAATTCATGTCTGTGATTATTGTTCCCGACAGAGAATGAAATAACTACATCGCCATTTTTGAAAAGTTTATTCGATAAACAATGCGTAGCTGTTGACATATATATATATGGAGATTTCTGTTTGAATGTGCTTCACAAGTCATGGAAAACTGTTTTGAATATGTTACCTCTGGAAGTTAGTCACTAGGGAGCATCGATGGTGCTGGGTTCGAATCCCACATGCAGAATCTTGGATGCTCACTGTCGATGATCCCCACACTAGCACGATACAGCTGTCCAGTTCTGCCAGGTTTTAATGGCTGTCTAACTTAGATCCGTTCATGATTTTAATGAGGTTCAACAATGTCCACCACCTCAAACTGAATGTATTTATTTTAGAGTCTACAATTTCATAAAATTAAATCTTAATCCATAAAAACACAGTGGTTGCAATTCATCCACAAAATTCGATGAAATATTCAGATAATCTCAGTGAGTATCCTCATATTTCATATATAATCTTATTGTTACTTTTCTTAGGTTTGTCGTTTAGCCTATGAGTTAATGCAAACACGTCATATGGAATTGGGTGATGCAACACAATTATTTCATTCAATCGATAAGTTATTCCATGAAGAAGATTACGGCAGATTGAAATTTGATGTGATCATTTCAGATATGAAGGTAAATTTGAAGTATGGTGATGTAGTGGAAATTCGCCAAATTAACTGGAACGGTTCAGTGTTAGTAAAATTAGTACAATCAAGTGAAGATATACATAACAAAAACCAAAAGGGTATGAAAAACAACTTATTGATTGCACCTGCTTACAAGTTGAGACCAATAATAAACATGACTGGATTCAACTGACGAAGTGAGATTGTTTCAACAGACTATATATCACTGTAGATTCAGTTTTAAACCGCCATCTTTTTTTTCCAACTTAGGTTTTGATAACTAACATTATCCTGCTCAATATTTTATACACAGTTAATAATTTATATTCACATTCTTATAAATCTGTTGACTATCACTGATGTATGTTTCAGTTAATTCTTTATTGAAATTGTACGGTACTACCGTAATAGACGTGATTCAAGAAACAACATTGACAAATTAAAGTTGCTCATTGACAAGATGAAAATATTCACAGAGAACTCACTTTATTTTTAGTCTTATGAGTTCGATTTGAATGAGTGGAGATTGTATGTTATGAGAATAGGAAATGTTTCCAATCTTATATTATATCTAATTGTATTACTTCTTATTCAGACCGACTATTTTATCATGATTATTACTATTATACAGAATGAATCTAATTTATGATTTTTGAAACTGTTCAGACATGAATGTAGAGAGATTTGGATCTGTTTTGTTGAAGTGATCCAGAAAATTGTTTGCAAAAAAACAAGCAAGCATCATGAATCACTAAGATGCGTTTCGTTCAATCAGCGTTTGCTTGAATATTTTTGCCAAAAAATATCAAGGAAGCGAAACGTTACATGTGTAGCGTGGCGTCGAGTTGAGATTAACTGTGAACACCGCTACCAAGAAACACGTGCCAAATACATCAGAAGGCGAGGGTTGGACGTAACCAAATAGATCCATAAAATCCCCGAGAAGCCAAATATCAGAAGACAGTTAATGGACCAAATCGAGGTGTATATTTCCTGGCGATCTCGTGGTATCGAGAGGATACCGAGATCGTGCCAGGATACAACCTTGGTTACAGAAGGTAACCGAATTCGCGCGAAGTTACAATCGAAGTGTAAGTATAAGAATGGAAGCACAAAATAGCTGTCATTAGCACAGTCAAACAAAAGCACGTTAAAACAAACACTGGTACAGTTGGTTATAATAATAATTGTTTTTATTAAACCAGTCGTGTTCTCGTGATAAACGTGAGTCACTACAGGAGCCCCCCGCTAGAAAGGGTTTACACTTTCGATAAATAGCGGTTTGAATCGTGGGACTGATCGGCTGACGAGCGATTGTAGGACGGAAGAATTGGCGAACAGGAAAGCGATCGTTGATCGTCGAGTTGCCAACGAAGGTCGTTTTCGGAGAACGGTACCAGGAGCGATGTTTTGTATTTATTGCTTGAGTTGGCATGCTACACCAGAGTGGTTTGTATCCAGAATCTGAAGAGGGCGTTCGTAGGGTCCGGACCAGAAACGCTGCAGACGTAGGACGAAACCACGTTGAGCCAAAAGACCAGAAGCGACCATAACGACCAAGTTCGAGACCAAGCGTATGCCAAGCATTCGAAACCAAAATATCGACTGAGTACGTTGACAAGAGCGTGGGTGATCAGGCCAGCTTTCGCCAAAGTTGACTGAAGTCGACGGAACCAAACGGAGATGGTCGAAGGCGTGGGCTCAGGAAACAAAAAGAAAATAAAAAAAAGAAGAGTGTAGCATGCGTGTAGTATAGGAATAATCCTACACCGTATCGGTTGTTGACTGTGCGGCTAGTCGCGGAAGCGTACGGGTAACCGTACTCGGCGACCGGAACGTGAGACGGTAGTCTCGTTCGTATTCGTGAGCCTGCAATCTCATCCGAGGTCAGAGGCGGCGTGGTCTGCTGATCTGGACGTGAGACTGTCGTCTCGTCCGTAGACGGTGCAGATGACGCGTGCTGTTGACCGGGACGTGAGAATGAGGTCTCAGATGTATCTAGCGTGGGACCTGAAGAAGATTTAAGGATCCCGCTAGGTTTGATAGGTCTAGCATTGAATCTCAGGTTACCAGATAGGGCACTGTCATCGACGTGTGCTGGTTTGAGACGATCAATGCTGACGATCTCGACGCGTCCATATCGATCAACCTTGAAGGTCTTTTCGTGACGAGCGATCACGTGAAAAGGGCCTTCGTAAGGTTGTTGCCAAGGTTTGCGTACCGAATCTACTCGTACAAAAACATGTGAACAGGTAGATAACTCTCGAGGGAGAGCGACCTGTCGATGTTGTATTCGAGTTGACACCGGAGACAGCGTTCGCATAAATGCAGACAGTCGATGGACGTAGTCTGATTTACCGAAATTTTTTTTTTTTTTTTTTTTAGGTCTGCTCCGGGCAGACGCAATGTCGTGCCGTATACAAGTTCAGGGCGGAACATTGGATATCTGCCTTTAAGCTCGTTCTGATCCCTAAAAGAACGAGCGGTAAGGTTTCGTGCCAGTTGCCGTTTTCGTGTGCTCGTAGAACACTTTTAAGTTGGCAGTGAAACCGTTTACTTAACCATTTGGTGCTGGGTGGTAGACGGATATGCTTATGCGTATGCATTCCGTACCAAGCAGCCGGGTCAGCGAGGAGAATCGTTAATAGGGAAACATTTCTCGAATAAAGCGTGGAATTCATCGTCACGCGAATAAAAAGTAACAAGGATTCGGTACACATACGTGTGAGTCTATTATATTAATACTATTCTTATCGTTATCCGTCATGTCGCGTATATTATATATTAAAAAATATGAAAATATACGACAGACGTGGATAGATAAATCATAGACTCACCGAATTGGCTTCTTTGGAAGATTTGATCAGAAGTTGAGGCGTGTTCCAAAATACGGGTCACCAATTGTAGCGTGGCGTCGAGTTGAGATTAACTATGAACACCGCTACCAAGAAACACGTGCCAAATACATCAGAAGGCGAGGGTTGGACGTAACCAAATAGATCCATAAAATCCCCGAGAAGCCAAATATCAGAAGGCAGTTAATGGACCAAGTCGAGGTGTATATTTCCTGGCGATCTCGTGGCATCGAAAGGATACCGAGATCGTGCCAGGATACAACCTTGGTTACAGAAGGTAACCGAATTCGCGCGAAGTTACAATCGAAGTGTAAGTATAAGAATGGAAGCACAAAATAGCTGTCATTAGCACAGTCAAACAAAAGCACGTTAAAACAAACACTGGTACAGTTGGTTATAATAATAATTGTTTTTATTAAACCAGTCGTGTTCTCGTGATAAACGTGAGTCACTACACATGTAGACGTTCTGATTGGTTGGTTGCTACACTGCTATTATGTTTAATAGCATTCCAGAATTTTCTAACAACCCAAGGAAATTTAAAATATTATAAAAAACCTTGTATTTTCTGTATTAAAATGAACCTTGGAGTAAACTACTTCTCGCATACTTTGAGTCTTCTCTCTCTTGTATAGTTCTAGCTTGAGGGTTACAGAATAGCTTAGGAAGCGAATATAGCGTTCGATCCGCAAGCTTCTGAAAGAATCATTAGAAGAAATAACTCTGTTCAAGCTAAGCGAAGTGTTTACTTGTCGACAGATGATCCGAATATTTTTACTCAACTACCCTACAGTTATCCAAACTACACCGTCTATGGTAGTTGAGGTAGATCGCAGTCAGCTCATTTAAATACACGGATGTCAGTTAATTCAATGAATAATGCAATTATTGACACCATTCCACTTTCATTGACGGACTTCCTTGTGTGTACATTTTCATCGAATGTAAGTAATATATATATATATATTAATATATGTTGACTTGTATTGACGACAATATTACACGTTAATTTTACAGAAGTGAAGTTGTTATTACCACAAGATTGAATGGAAATCACTGATTAGTAATGATTGAGAAATGTAGAGGGTTTTTACCAACCTGATGTAGGTTGACTTTCTTTAACGGCAGCATTTGATACTCCATGTGTGCAATTGGTAAATGTTTATCTCTTAGCTCTCTGTGAAAAATATCCTTCTGCATGTGAATATCAAATCACAGCATGAGAAAGCAACTATTATTGGGTCCAGACCAGTTTACAGTAAAGCGCAATTTTTGTCTACTTCAGTGCTATCAGGTTTACTATGGCGGTCTAATCAAGATCGGTTCATGATTCTAATGAAATTCAACAGTGTTCACAGCCCCAAACTGAATGTGTTTCAATCAGTAAGTCAGTCAACAACGTAGAACTTCGTACGTGTGTACATAAGTTCAAGTTGCCATACCACATTTGTACAGAGATACGCTTAACCTCTGTACCACTGAGTCGGCAGCGAACGGTGTTAATGTCTAACTTCAAACAATCCACGAAATTGTGCGAACATCTTCCATTGTACTGAGGACGGTCAGACTGAAGGCCTTGGGTTCTAATACCGTGAGCGGGATTGTGGATGCACACTTCTGAAGAGTCCCACAATAGGACGAAATGGCCGTCCAGTTCTTCCAGGTTTTCATTAGTGGTCTAACATCAATCAGTTCATGATTTCAATCAAAACGTAATAATCTCCACAACCTTATACGGATAATAACAACAATTCGATTATTTTCTATTTTTCACAATATATTACTATTATATAACCTGTTACCAAGATTCTATTACCATTTGATTAAATATACAATCAATACTCTATATAAAAATGGAATCAGTTTATGATAGGTACATGATAGATAACCAAAAATAAAAAATAAATATTTAGCTTAAACAATGCCTTAATCAATACAGCCCGCGCGCAAAACTAGTAGGCCCTGGGTTCGAGTTTCGCGGGGGACGAGGTCGTGAATGCGCACTGCTGAGGAGTCCTACAATAGGAAGAAACGGACGTCCAGTGCTTTCAGGTTTTCCATGGTGGTCTAGCTTCAACTGACTCATGATCTTAACCATTGAAATTGATTGAATATTTGAATATTTATCAGTACTTATATGTATGTGAACTCATTCAAAGAGTCGAAACACATGAATGAGTTCTGTCTGAAAATGAGCGAATGTTGGAGAAATGCACAAAAATCGAAAGTGATTGTTACGAGCGTTAAGAGAATGTTATTACAGCGACCCTGGTTAACCTTAGAAAGCTGCTACATCTTTCATTTGATGCTAAAAGACACTCCCGATTTTACGATGAATCTATTTTATTAAGGTATCGTTAATGTGCTCGAGTTGCCAATTAGTCATTAGTGTGATACAGTGTGAGTGAAATTGAACTACAACATATGGGATTACATTTGTAAACAAGAGATGGAGGACAAATGAATGTAGAAAGTGACAAATTGACTGATTAGTGTGATAAGCTGTGGATTTCTTCTATCTTAGATGATCTTGATTATTGTGTCCAGTTGATTGTTGACATTTCACATCTCTTCACAGAAATACTACACGAAACTTTCATATAATATATTCTGACTGGAGTAGAGTGATCACATAAGAGTTGACAGACTTCCGACTATCCTTATTAAGGAAACAATAGCTCGACTGGATTACTTGAATTGCTCAACAGATAATCACCTACAAACATAAATCAGTTGATATTGTACCAAGTTAATTTTCCCAGGTGATTTGATTGGTTTAAGTGATTTAAAACTCTATTTAGGTGAATGGTTAAGATGAAATGAGCCCGTGACTACTAGACACATTAGTGATGATAATGAATAATTCAAATGCACGCATCTCTTTAAGTTCCTAGATTTGTACAAGATGAAAATGTGTGCACGAACGCCTAACCACTGAAGCACTGAGCCGGCATCCAGGTTTTCCATGGAGGTCTAGCTTCAACTGACTCATGATCTCAACCATTGAAATTGCTATAATATCCACCAAATCCCTTCTGATACTAAACAACATATGCATAATGGTGACTGGTTTCAAGAGGTATTTCCTGGTGTTCTAGTGAGAAACAGTGATCAGTGGAGTTCAACCGGTTCTGTTGTTTGATACTAACTCACTGAAGACAATGATGAATGTATCGCTCAATTTCGTGGATTAGTTTAAGTTAGACATCAATACCGTTGGATGCCGGCAGGTTCAGTAGTCATTTAAATCCGTTAAGCACTTTGTTTAAAATTTATTGATGGTTTCTTGTCAATAAGAATGTGGTATGGGCTGCTGATATTGACAGATATCAGTAGTATGTGTCATCAATCGAAAGTGAAATGCCTAATGGCAAAGGTCAAGAAGTTCAGTGATGAAATGAGAACAAGAACAAAAAATGATTAGTGTAGAAACAAAACAACAATGAAGTATTCACTTCATGCTTCTCAGATTTTACTAAGCGATTCTACAATGTTGTATTTAAATGTATTCAATTGTCACTACCGTTGTTCTTGTTCACTACAAGAATGTGTATGTTTGGGTGTGTGGGGGTTAGTAATCATTATATTGAAATTCCATTGTGTTCATTACAATTCGGTTACTTCAATACAAATAATGTCATTCCGAATTATTAACTGAATGAGTGAAAATACATAAATAATGCTCATACAGTGAGTATACTTTGGAGAACCATTTCAATGGTCTATATCACTTAATTGATTATATGTTTATAAGTATACTGGCAAGAATTTGAGTACAATTAAATTTGTCATTGAATCAGTTTATATATGAGTTAACAATGTCATTACTAATCTGATTTAAGTATATCTGATCAAGCATTTTGGTTTTACTCACCATCAATTATAATTGTCATAATCATGCTGTGAACTACTAATAGGTAATACAAATCAAAGTATACTCCTCCTCCTCCTCCTCCTCCACCTCCTGCTACTACTACTACTAGTAACACTACTTGTAATTGTTGAAAGAAATGACGTATCATCTTTTTTACTCACTTCTAATGGACCTCTTATGGCAAAGTTTTGGTTTTTAGCGGAGATTGTATCTTTTCAACTAGACCTATTTTATTGTTTTAATTTAGATACTGAGAAATCATGTGATGGTTCGAGTCGGTGGTGGCTGGGATACACTGAGTCATTTCTTATCAAAATACGATGAATGTCGTAAAGTTAATCCATGTAAGGATGTTTTCTATTCACTTTTAAAGTTTTACGAAGCTTTACTTGTTTGATTGTATCGAACTATATTACAGATCATATGTTATTAGATCATGCTTTAAGGAGGTAGGGTTAATAACAGTAATTATTAGTTTATTCATTGAGATTAGTGTGTTCTCTTAGCCTGAGTTTGTCATCAATCCTACCGATAACAAAGTATGATAATGTTGAGTGGGAAACTATGGTAACTCCTACAAGTAGAAGTAGTAGTACTACTTATTATATTAATAGTAGACATTGTAATTCTATACAACGTCAGAACCCAATAGAGAATAGATTACGTAATAATCAAAATTTATCCAAATCATTAAATTCATTATATATAAATTGTAAACAATCAATAGATAGAAAGAATTCAAGACCAGTTGAAAGAATTTCAGTTTTGCCTATCATCAATGATACTACTACTAATAAGAATAGTAGTAAAAGTAATAATAATAAATTTACTAGGAATACTGGCGAGACTCTAATTTAGCGACGAGCCAATCAGAAGCGTTTGAGCAGTTTCAAGGTCACGGAGCCAAGTTCAACACGCGATGCTAACATACGGTCGGTTCACAGCGGATTTTAGAGAGGAGGTGATTAATGAGAGGTTGAAACAGATGGGACGGCGGAACTCTAATTTAGGGACGAGCCAATGAGGAGCGTTTGAGCAATTTCAATTATTAGCCAATTAGAAGACAGTATAAAGTAAAATTATATTACAAGAAAGTAATGAATTACAGTGGATATTCTTCTTTTACATGATTTAAAAACTTGTTGAGGTTTGATAAAGGCTCAGAAGTTCTGAATTCATAATGCATATTGTATAGAAACTCGCCCATATGGTTAGGGTTTGGGGTTAAGGTTTAGGGTTAGGTTTGGGTTTAGGGTTAGGTTAAGGTTAGGGTAAGATTAGGATTAGGGTTAAGGTTTGGGTTTAGGGCTAGATTAGGGTTAGTTTAAGGTTTGGGTTTAGGGTTAGGGATAGATTAGGGTTAAGGTGCTAACATGCGATCGGTTTACATCGGATTTTAAAGATAGGTATTTATTGACAGGCTACAACCCTAACCACTAACCCTATGGACGAGTTTCTTTACCGTATTCATTAATCATTCAGAGCCTGTGAACCTTTATCAAACCTTAACAAGTTTTTAAATCATGTAAAAGAAGAATATCCACTGTAATTCATTACTTACTTACAATATATTTTCACTTTATACTAACTGTCTTCTGATTGGCTAATAATTGTCAAGGTCATTCAAGATTCGTTCAAAGGTCGTCGCTAAATTAGAGTCTCGCCGGAATACTTATACCACTCATAATCATCGAATACAATCAGTAAAAAGTCATCATGTAACAGAAAGAAAATCTACAATGCAACAATTGAAATCATCACCGTTACATCACGATAATAATAATAATAATAATCATCATCATCAGAGTAGAAATCAACAAAATCAAAGTAGAAGTAAATCAGCTAATATGTTTAATCGTAAATTATCATCTACATCTACATCTACATCAGCGTCAGCAGCTGCAGCAACAGCAGTAGCATCGTCGTCGTCGTCCATCATCATGTAAACAAGTCAATCATCAATTAATCAATAAACCAGTACAAATTGTATATACATCAGGAGAGAATAAAAGACATCCAGATAATTATGTAATAAATGATCATTTATATCAATCGAATCATTCTAAACAAATTAATCCATTAATTTCTATAAATAGTAAATTGAGACATGGCTCATTGATACCTATATCAACAAGATCTTATTCAAGTTCTCGCATTCCATTGAAACAATATTAATTGGTTATTATTATGATGATGATTGAAAGTGCCTCATTTTGTTTGTTTTTGATTAAGATCATGAATCAATTGATGTTAGATCATTATTGAAAACCTGGAACCATTGGATAGCCATTCTGGACTGATCAGATGATGAAGAACTGGTCATTCAGTGCTTTCAGGCTTTCAATAGTGATCAATTGATCAATTGATTGATGATCTTAATCAATCCCTATAATTTTTGTTGTTGCTATGCCTATGCAACCTCTTTTCATATTGGAGATTATTTTCTTCTCTTCTTTTTTGATAAAGGAGGACGAAATCATTTTTTTCAAATTACATCATTCATTTATTATTAAGCATTCTGTGGTCAGATTTAAAGTCTTTCATTGACTAGAAAAGCAAGACTAATTTGAAATTCATCATCTTTTTATCATCATGTCCATTCTCTTTTTTATTATCATGATGATACTACTTTTAAACAGTTTAAGTAGTATCTTCATATAAAGCCGTTTTTTCGAAAAAAACTCGTTTGTAGTGCTTTAATCAATGATATTACAATGACTCATAATGATTACCATCTACTAAACTATACTAGAATGATAAGGGTTAGTTATATTGGTTGCACACATCTTCTACACAATCTATATAGTTACATACACACACACAATGCAATATGAATCACTTGTAATCTAATTAATGAGTCAAGACATATGAATTCAATGCTAGATTGTTTAGTAGTTGAATTGATGACTTGATTGAAACTAGACCATCTGGAAGTACTAGATAGTCATTTCATTCTAGTATGGTATTCCTCAACAAGACGAAACAACCATCTGTTACTTTCATGTTTTTCATGATAGTCTAACTTCAATTGACTTATCCATTCACTTAGTAAAATTATTAATAATATCCACACACACACAAAAAAAAATCCGTCTCTGATCGATTTTTTACTTCCCATGTTTGTTTCTATGACAACGAATGGTCAATTATTTAAGTTGAAGTATCACCATACTTTCTTTGTTGTTGTTCTCGTCGTTTATCTCACTCATTTTCTCTCTTTTTTCTTTTTTTTTTACAAGATTGTTATCGATTATTTCAATGAGTCTCCTTTATCTTTTTTTGTTTTTTCTTGTTCTTCATGTTTATCATCTTGAATTTCTATTGGTTAGTGTTTTTATTTCTCTTATAAGATCTCATTCTATTCTGTGCTGTACTGTACTGTACTGTACTGTTTATGTTTTGTTTTGTTTTATTTTTCATTTTATAAGAAAAAAAAATTAGTATAGATGATATTGTTGATGATTCATTTATGAATAGAGTTGAAGGATGATGATAACGTTCTAAATGATTAGTTTCATTTTTAATACAGTGGTCTTGAGTGCTGTCATAGATATGAGGGCGGCTATCACTTCACGGTTGTCCAAACCGTGGAAGCGTTCTTCTGGAGGTACCTGAAAGAGAAACTGGATAAGGCGTGGTCTTAGTGACCTGAGAGCGTGACCGCAATGCCTAAGGAAGAACTGCTTGAAGTCAGTCACACACGACTTTTGTGTGAGTAGTTTTCGCGTTAGCTCCATACTTGTTGAGAACTTTCCACTGGAGATAAATATCCGTGGGATAAGGTGAGGTGTGCATTTTCAGGATGGACCACTTCTAACCCCATCTCTACTTGTGCGAAGGCAGCATCGCTGTGATGATGGTTTATGTATTTATTTATTTTAACACGTAGATATTGGTACAAGGAGGCACCAAATAGATATGCGCCACACAAATCTCATTCGATATGTGTGAGGGCTGTAATACTGCCCGTGTGCCCAAATCGAAGCAGGTGGTTATCTTAAGGGGCCACTAACCGAGCCTTCGACCTGAAGGTCTGATCCACAAGACAGTGAAGCATCGTAAGGAGACGCAGTCTCACGGAAGCCGGTGACCAACGATGGGTTCATACAGCATTTGTTCGTTCAGGATACTGGGGCGCATGTGCACCTTTCGAAGTAAATAGTTAGAGAGATTGGCTTCAAGGAAATCGAACAATCACAATTCCTGCTGAGTTGTGTTGATCTGTAAATGTTCGTTCGGAATCACGATGCTTTCAATGATCATCAGTGCAAGCAAATAATAAGAAATTCAAGATGAAGTTGATGGAGTTTTGTTCTCTGAGTTGGATGGTTTGATCGTGGATTGTTCACCACTCTTCTGAACGACATCATCAGCAGCACAAACTTCGGGTAGAAGTGAAGTGTTCTTCTCCAATACTACTGATTTCCACTAGACGAAAACTTACATTCACGATCATATTTTCAGGGTGTGTGAGTATTGAAAAAGTATCAAGGATATTCTATTTATTTCATTCGGTGAACTCTAACTGACCTCTTAGACTGACAAGCATTAAACATCGAGGCGTCTGACAAAACTCCATTAGTTCTTATGAAGTGATTCAGACAGAGAATGAGAATGGGTATCTACGTGAAATATGATGTGAATGGTTGCTTGATATCATGATTCAAATGACCATTGAGAAACGTCAGCTCGGTCTAGAACTGGCAGCCTTCTTATACAGTAGATTATTTTTATTTAAACACATTAATATTGGTACAAAGGGGCACCGAATACATATGCACCACAAAAGTCACTTGATTTGTGAGTGGGCAACACCCCGGAGCCTTCGACCTTGAATTCAGATCCACAAGGCAGTGGAGCAAGTTTAGTAGATGCAGTCGGTCCCATGGTAACTAGTGACCAACAATTGGTTCATACCCCATTCGTTCCATTATGATCCTTGAACCTATGTGGACCATTGGTTCGGAATCAAGGTTTTGCAACTGCCCTATGTGGATCCTACACATCCATAAAGCTGATTAATGCTCTGGACATTTGCTTTTCTTCCTCTCAATTTCATAAACAACACCGCCACTTCGAGAAGGCAGTGAGTAGGACTTCCGTGGCAGTGGTTGTATGCACGTGACCATGTGAGAGCATTTTGGGAGGGAGAGCTGACTCTCCTCACTCTCAACCTCAACAGGTCATCAGATAATTAAAAAATATCTCGAAATTGCCTGTTTTCTAATTTTTAGATTGAAAAATTAGGATTATAGAGATCAAAGATCCCAGCACCATTTATTTGATAAGTAAGTGGGTTTCGCGGTGTTATGTGTTTACTTAGGTAAATGGTGTGTGTGAGTGTGTGTGTGTGTGTGTGTGTAGAAGTACATATAATTTGAACATACCACTTATTCCTAACTATCAGGCACTAGATAGCTCTTTGACCGTGACCCATGATCTCTCAGCAGTTTCAGCTTGGAAACCATTTAACGCATAGATGAAGATCTTTCGGCATAGTGACATAAATATTATCACTTAATTTCGAAAATATAAATCACCGATAGCAGTTTTCAAATTCTATCATTCAATAATTCAAGATCATCTCAAGGCAACATTGTTCATAGTAAACGATCTTCATCTACATCTTAAACAGGAAAGGAATGAAACATTGGTGAAACTATAATTTAAGCGACACTAAAGTGACCCTGAATGTGTCCACCTAATAACTAGGATCAAATGAGCATTATAAACCAGTATAAGAGAATAGAATTATGATTTTGCAGTTGATGATTAAGGTAAGGATATAGATTTATGGGGTTTTCATCACGAACGGATATCCGTTATAATGTCAAAACTCAGTTTATCCAAATGAATGAATGAATTTCGCGTCAAAATCCAAGATCTGTTATCCCACATTGGAAGACAAGCCCAACAGACTAGAGTTTAAAGGAGAATAGTGAAGTTTGAAGGTGAAATGTTTGAATAATATGAAAACGGAAGATTTTCAAAATGATAAGTAATAAGTGAAGCATTTATACTAATGAAGATTAAGTTTATCCTGGAAATCTCAATGTTTAAATCGAACATATCTCATCTTGATCCATCAACTCTTGCTTTACATGATATGGCCTATCTGAATGAATGGTCAATATCTAGGCAATATGATATAGATTACTAATTCTTTTCTGGTTATTGAGTTTGACATGTATTGTGATTCCACACTAAGTTACTATCTCACAACAGACCCGGTTGAACTCCGCTGCTCACTGTTTCTCACTAGAACTCCAGGAAATACTTCTTAAAGCCAGTCACTAGTTGGCATATGATGATTAAAATGAGAGAGGGGTTTTGTGAATATTATAATAATTCAATAGTTGAATTCACAAGTCAATTAAATATAGACCACCATAGAAAACGTAGAAGCACTGGACGGCCGTTTCGTCATAGTATGAAACTCCTCAACATGGAGGATCCATCTAGGGGAGTTGGAAAACCCTAATTCCAAACCAATCTTGCACATGGGCTCCATAATCGTGAAGGAACAAAACCATATGAACCAATCGTTGGTAATTGTCTACCATGGGATTGTATCTGTTGACGTCGCTGCATTGCTTTGTGGATTAGACGTTTAAGTTGAAGTCTCCGTGTGTAGCCCCTTTAGAAAATCACCTGCTTCGGTTTGAGCACTCAGGCAGTTTCCCAGCACTCATATAAATCTAATGATTTATGTGGCGCATATTTATTTGATGCGTTTAAATAAAACGAAATGAAAATGGAACATTCATTACCTAGTTTGTGCTCGTTTGACACTATCTAACACGTCCATCAATCACAAAGTGAAAGGGGACTTGTGGTCTTCATGTATTGAGATATTTTTGTAAGCAATTCGAGCCATTGGTTTGAACTGGATTCGCTGGAGTTATTGACTTTGATGAATTACTGTTGAGTAATCTGTTCATCCATTATGATTGGTGCTTAGATTTTCATAAGAAAATCAGGACAAAACCAGTGATACTCAAGTTTCAACGGCTTCCTAACAGATGATAGCTCCTTGTGAAAACTATTCACATAAAGGACAATAAACACTTTCTTCGAAATTACATTATTAAGCATGTGATATGTATTTATTGCCGTTACCAGTGGAGTTCAACTAGGTCTGTTGTGAGATAGATATCAACTCACTGAAGACAATGGTGTACGGTGGCGCAATTTTGTGGATTGGTTGAAGCTAGATATTAACACCGAGAGGTGCCAGCCGGCTCAATGTTCTAGTTGGTTAAGGGCGTGGCGCGAGACTGATAGCTCCTGGGTTCGAGCCTCGCGGGGTGAAGGATCGTGAATGCGCACTGCTGAGGAGTCCCACAATAGGACGGAACGGCCGTCCACTGCTTCCAGGTTTTCCATGGTGGTCTAGCTTCGATTGATTGATGACTTCAATTATTGAAATTACTGAAATCTCCACAAAACCCCTTCTGATAATATGTATATATACCGTTATATCTAGGATTTGAACTGCGTACAGCGTACTGCGTATATCTGCTTTAATCTGGTGAACTCTGTCCTGTACGCTTATGACCTGAAAGTGGTCTACTCATACTGCAGAGACAAACTATAGAGCACTACTGATTTTATTCAAAAAGAATGAGACGATGTGCTAGTATGGTGTATAAAGTAACGATTTCAGTTTGACAATACAAATATATAGCTGGATTAGTATCGGATGAAACAAACTGTGATTTTATTTTCAGGTGTATCATATGGCAATAATCAAAACTGATACTATCTTAGACCTTGGCTCAAAATACTCGAATGACCTAAATTTTCAAGACAAAAAACGTCAATCAGATAGAAGCTACATAAACATATAGGTTATATGTTTCGTTATTTCTGTGAGAGAGTCTAGACTAGTCTCGTATAAAGTCATTGTCCTCGCAGTGCTTTAATATTATCCATTTATGTGAAGGCTACTGAGTGTAAATAACAAGTTGAAAATCGAAGGAATTATTGAAAAACTCAAGAAGTACAACAATGACAGTTCCTATATTCCCCCCCCCAATCCATTCATGTGTATTTCAAGACGACTGTTGGTTAATACTTATCCAATCAACGCTAGTCGATACTTGGAGAACATTCTAGAATCTCCGCAATGTAAAAACTATAAATATACACAAACGTTTTTCCTGTTGTGCTTCTTCTTCTTCTTACTTCCATGTAACCTTGTTATTTGGAATAGAATCGGTTTTCCTGTTCAACCATTTTCTGACTTGTGGACTTGTCAAGTGAATCAGTGTTCAAAAATACTAAGTAGTATGAATAGTCGAGTTGTAATAAGGGAGAATTATAACATTTACTATTATCAAACATATAATATTGAACAAAGTTCTTCGTTGATAACAATAATGAAAATATGATAATAGGGCTAAATATGAAATAAGTTGGGATCTAATTTTTGGTGAAGATTATTGTATGTAATGTGAACAAATGAAGGGATTTTGTATGTATCTAAGATGAACGGTAATATTGTAATACGTAGTGTGGTGTGTGCTACTTATATTGACATAAGTAGTAGATGATGTTAGTCGTGAACAGAAGGTCTGGCATCAGCAGATAGACAATGGGATTGAACAGTAAAAAATGGAAACAGGATGCAATTTATATGAAAATGTAAGAACAATGAAGTCTGAGTCATTTTGAGACAACCGTTGGACACTATGCAAATTAAGCATTTACTTTATGATTGTTAGATTTTATTAAAAAGCCCTGTAATGTTGTGTTAAATACATTCGACTGTCCCCATTAGGGTTCTTGTTCACTATAGTATTGCCTGCAGTAAACTCGGTAAATGATGATCCATATTCCTTAAACATATCACTGATATTTTGTATAATCGAATATATGTTCGTATCGATTTTTTGTGTTCAATATTCAGTAGTAGTGGTAGTAGTAGTACAGTGAAATCTTTAAAAAGTCCCACAATTTTCTATCAGGGGGTTTTCATTGACGATGTAATCATAGCAGTAATCATGATTGTCTTTACATGAAGGCTTATCATTTCATTTCATTCTTATAAATGGTAATGTCAGTCAGATATCACACCTTATTCACTTTAATATAATATAATCATCTATTCATTTTATTATTCCCTTATTTCATTTAAACAAACTTCACATACACTTCTATCATTTTGTTGTGATTATTATTATTATTATTATCATTGTTAATATTAGTATTCACCATGAAAAAGGGTGATTTCAAATACAGTTGAACAACAGAGAATCCCGTGAGCGGGATCTAAGATGCGCACTGCTGAGAAATCCCACAACAAGAAGAAATGGCCGTCCAGTGCTACTAGGTTTCCAATAGTAGTCTAACATCAATCGGTTTATGATCTCAATCAAAAAACTTAATAATCTCTACAACCCTATAATGATAATTACAAGACAGATTTTCTATCCTAGTGTGAGACATGTTATTAATATATACCCATGAAATCATCTATTATAGAATGACTGACCTTTCAGTATCACGACTAATCTATTTCTGCTCATAGAATTTTCTTTTAAACAATAATAAATGATCAGTGGGTGCTTTTGTGGAGAATGTAGAATTGTCATAGACTTTATGTCACAAATTGATCTTGGGTAAAACCAGTTGATGACGTAACCTATGATAACAGTTTGCAATTGAATAATACTGATGAATCGCAAACAAATGGAGAGACTTTCAACTTTTATACCTTGTCAGCTAAAACCATACAATGGGTCATTGAATGGTCTTGATAACAATTACAGAACTCCATCATAATTACTATAATTTCATACTTACTTACTTACGCCTGTTACTCCTCGTGAAGGAGCATAGGCCGTTCACCAGCATTCTCCATCCAACCCTGTCCTGGGCAACCCTTTACAGCTCCTTCCAGTTGTTATTCATCTTTTTCATATCTGCTTCTATTATCCGACGTAATGTGTTCTTAGGTCTTCCTCTTTCCCGTTTCTCTTCAGGATTCCATGTTAGGGCTTGCCTTGTGATGCAGTTTGGTGATTTGCGTAATGTATGTCCTATCCATTTCCATCGTCTTTTCCTAATTTCTTCTTCAGCTGGAGGCTGGTTTTTTTCTCTCCCACAAAAGGCTGTTGCTGATGGTATCCGGCCAATGGATGTTGAGTATCTTACGAAGGGAGCTTTTTATAAATACTTGTACCTTCTTGATAGTGGTTGTTGTAGTTCTCCAAGTTTCCGCTCCATACAGTAGAACTGCCTTGACGATGGTATTGAAGATTCTCACTCATGGATGACTGAAAACAAGGAAACCTTCTGCCAAACTACCACACTAATAATGGACAATCAGTAGTATGAAATTTTGAGAGAATATTTTACTCAACGAAATCAATTCATGATTGGTATCATTTATTATTGATTTAGATGTTTGTCTTTTAATTTTTTTTTAGTGGAGCCCTTTATTTTGTCATCAGTTAGATCGGAAGATGTATTTCAACGGGCTCTCCACTTTAGTGGCCCAGGATCTGACTCCAAGGTGATCGTAATGAATGATTGTTATTGGAATATATCCATGTTGCCTATTCTCGTATATAATCATCGACTTAAATCGCGTTAGTCAATAACGGAATTAAATGAGTCAGATAACGAGAATGGACTTTTGAATACACATACTTTGTATATAAAGCGAATGGAACAGAACGAAGAGAAAAGACGCAGAGTGGAGATGGCTAGTAAGCCAACTCCCTTTTAACCAAGAGTTAGTCAATATGTATAATCACACAAAAATAAGTTACAGACATATGATGAATAGGATAAGAAATGTACACACAGATATGCGCTCATATAAAAACAGTCAAGATTGGTAAGCGAATAATTAACACGGTAAAAATATGACTGAAGTACAATGAGTAGACTGGCCTGTCCGAAAACCAGAATAAGGAATATGGGGGCCTGACATGTCAAGCGACACTACAATGTTATCTTTAAATCTGTATAAAACTTTATTATACAAACACGAAAATGTCTATTCATACAACAATAAATGATTGGATTCAATGCAGAATTAATGAAATACATGTAAAATAGTATATGTCTTACTTGAATAGTCCAATGTGGTTTATCTTTTAAAAGAACTACTTGTCTTTTTTGTATTGGCATTGTTGTATAAACAAGATATGGTGTATAAGATATAATGAAATTTGCTGCAACTAATGCTAATGTTTGAGCTGTACGTACATGTGGTTTACGTCTTACGTTCTAGATTAGCTGCTGACAATTCAGTTTTTGATAATTGAGGATTATTTATTTCTATAGTACACTGGGTTTTCTTATTGCCCGGTAGCTTTAAACAATGTGACTCTTCATTATCTTTATCAGTATTATTGTCATTGAATAGTTTATCTTTAGGAATTGAACACTGACTAGTTTTAATCAATTCACTGTTATTATCTCTTTCACATAAACACACACAACTTATTCTGTCTAAATTAGATGTGACAAAACTTGTCGATGTTGTCATATCTGTTAGAGGTTGATGAATTCCCAAAGTTTGTTGTTTTAGATATGGCTGAGGTAATGATAAACTAGACAATTGTTCAAAGCAATTCTGTCCATATTGTTGACGGTCCTGAAGTTCCAATTGTTGTCTTTCTTCATGTTCAAAAACACTAGAATTTTGTTTATCTTCTTGTTCATTTTGTAAATCATTTGATTCTTTTAACTTTTTACGAAATGATATTCGTTTTTTAATTGAATTCCATTTGGAATCATTTATATCACCTGAAGAATTCGGTGTAGCATGTATACGTACCCAATTGCCTTTCATTTTTGGATTACCATATTTCTCATACATAAATGATTCATGCCTCCAGACAAATAGAAAGATCAGTGCATATACACCAGCTGTTCCAAGAAATAATACTAAAAATAACAGGAGTACACAAATTTGATGTTACCAGTATAACTGATCATTAATGTATGTGTCATCTTTATCGCATCGTTTTGAAACACGTAATTGATTAAACCATTCTTCATTTTATGTTGTGAACAAGTAAACAAGAAGCCCTGACAAACTACGGAAGCTACTTTTCTTCGGGACGTTATTTCATTTTATGCAAAGCTTGTAAAACTGTAACATTTATATTTGTCCCTATTTTATTCTACAGAACATGAGCTTTCGTTCGATGTATGATTCATTGTCATACCCTTTTTTATTCCGAAGCTATTGTAATTTAAACATAATATTTTGCACCCTATTATAACTGTATTTTTCCTAATTATTGTACGTTATGGTCTGGTTATTCACTTATTTATTCATGTACCTTTTTACACTAATCCGGGAATAGATCGAGTAGTGTTCCAGTTGTCTTGTCTTCTCTCATCCGCGTGCTTGTCAGCCAATCAGGTGATAGAATAGTTTTCTTCCCTCTACCCCACTACGAACTCACGCGTACTAGCCTTAAGCTTGGGTCGGACAACTTATCGCGCCAAGGTCTTAATCTGGATTAGATAAGTATCCTTAGCATCAAAAGTGGTTAGACAGACCAAAGGACATAACATTTTCCATAGTGGATAATCCATATTTCAATGTATTTAAATCTAATAATTCATCACGTTCTTTAAATAAATCAATTGCACGAACATGTAATCCCATTGGTATAGCACATAATAAACCAATGCAAAATATAATGACTAATGATAATACAATATGTGTACGTTGCATTTGTATACCAGGAATGAAACAGATTAATAAAAATCTTTCCATTGCTATCAACATTAATATACATGCTGAAACAGGTACAACAAATCCTTTCATTGTTAAATGTGCACGACATATCCAATCAGTTGTATCCCCTGTCCAAATATCTAAATATAATGTACATGGAATTACAATAAGACAAATAAATAAATCATTACAAGCTAATAATAGAATAAACAAGCCAGAAATAATACCTTGTTTAACTTGTTTTGTAAATGCCCATACAACAAGACTATTACCGATTGTTCCAATCATAGAAATAATGATAAGTAATATAGTTGAAGTAATAATACTCGGTAAATAAATTTCAACTGGTTCAGTTGTAAAATGTGTTAAAACTTTATTGTTCATAGGAAAAAATAACGAATGATTCACTTGTATCATTCTTATTGAACTATTATAATTGAACATTGTCTATTTAGATCCCTCCAAAAGAAATTAGATACTTTACATTCATGAAACAATTGAATAGTATAGTGTGCGTGTTATATTATGAAATGACAATGTTCGTTGTAATCCATAATAATCTAAAAGATTTTCTATTTTAAGTGATATAATTCATTATTCAGTGTAAATCAAAAAAAAAAAAAAATTCTTCGATTTCTCCGGAGAATTTCAGCAAATGAATATCTTGGAGTTTGATTGGTTATTCATTAAGATTAATTTGATTGGTTGTTTGTGAAGATTAATTTGATTGGTCATAGTAAATCATGGAGAGGGGTCAATCAAAATTATTCGATGTATATAACGAGAAATTATTGTATGGATCAGGTGGATTGATCAAGTGTAACAAGATTTGAATATTGATTTCTATTGATTTTCGATTGTATATTATTATTTTATTTATTGACTTAATATGATCAATTTGACCTTTACTTTGATTATTTTAGATGAAAATACTACTATTATTATTTATATGATGTAAATACGATAAACTAATCAGACACTAGTAGCAGCAACCTACTATGGGAAAAAACAAGCGAGATTCCAGTGGAGGAAGAAATTCGAAAGAAGCATTGGAAGTGGATAGGACACATATTGAAGAAAGCATCCAACTGCGTCACAAGGCAAGCCCTCACATGGAATCCTCAAGACCAAAGAAGAAGAATAAGAAGACCGCAGAACACAATACGCTGAGAAATGGAGATAAACACAAGAACAATGAACAACCATTAGATAGAACTAGAAAGAAAGGCTCAGGACAGAGTGGGTTGCAGAATGCTGATCAGTAACCTATGCTCCATTGGGAGTAACAGGCGTAAGTAAGTAAGGATAAACTGATTTATTTGTTGTTTTTCACCTTTAATTTATTCTCCAGGTTCCAGGTACAATAATGTTAGAAACTTTTGTATCATTTTTATTGTTATGGTAATAAATACTCTTCCTATATATGAATGTAACCATGTTTAAGTTTGCTGGTCTACCCTCAAAGCAATACATTTATTATAATGGATTAATAACACTTACAGAATAATGATGTGTGTATTAATCTCACTTTATGTTATTTGTCCATAAAGCCATGTGGTATATAGATCGAATCCATATTGAATATTGAAAAACATTTTTAGATGTTTTTATTTATTGCAGCCTGTACTATAAATACCCGAGTGCTTTTGTACCATATTTAACACTGTTTTGAATAAGATATCCTTCCTAGTCGTCTTCTGTCTGCTAATTTATAACATAAAGGTTTCAAGCGTTCGAGTGGTTATGTTGTACGCAGTTCAAGTCCTAGATATAACGGTATATATACATATTATCAGAAGGGGTTTTGTGGAGATTTTAGTGATTTCAATAATTGAAATCATCAACCAATTGAAGCTAGACAACCATGAAAAACCTGGAAGTAGTGGAAGGCCCTTTCGTCCTATTGCGGAACTTCTCAGCAGTGCGCATCCACGATATATATATATATATATATATATGTCTAGCTTAAAGTTCATTTGACAAATGTTAGTGGTTCAATTATTATCGTGAAGTGAGAACATATACACATACATACTTAATTTTTCAAGCCAAGCATTGTTTAATAGATATACATTACTTCTGAAGTATTTTCGTGTATGCAGATCATAATAATGTTCTCTGAATTTTAACAATTGAATCTGTGAATCATTCTTAACTACACTACTATTAGAAACCCGGAAGTATTGAACAGCAGTCTTGTCCTAGTGTGAAACATTTCAGAAGTGCTCATCCATGGATGCAGACATGGAAACCGAACTCAGGAACTTGTATCCATGAACCAACGCTTAAATTCTAGGCCATTGAGCCGGTGGTATCCGATGGTGTCAATATCTAACTTCGATCGACTCGAAATTTTGCTCAACTTTTGATCTATTGTGTGAGATGGATAACTGTCTGACATCCTCACATACGGATTAGACTCCATCAGTCACGGTTATGCATTAGAACTCGACAAAAATCTATGTTGAAACTAGCTACTAGTGAGCTTATTATTATTATTATTATTATTAATATTATTATTATTATTAGTATGAAGGGTTACTCAAGATCATGGCCTGATATCTGACTCCAATTTGATCATTTCTGATTGCTTGTTATTGATAATATACATGTCGTCAATTCTTGCATATATAATCTTCAACAGTGTGCATCAATGATTGCACAATGAACGGACTGGAACACTTCATCTCTAGTCGATTGAACTTTTTGGCATCCAACAGTGTTCATGTTTAATTTCAATCGATTCTTGATCTTGAACGATCTTTCATGTATTGTTTGAGGTTGATAACCGTATAATACCGCACACGGGTTTGACTTCATTGATTACGGCTTCTCATTAGAAATTTAGATGATCTATGTTGAATCTAGTCACTAGTGAGTATACGATTATTATTATTATTATTATTATTATTATTATTATTATCGGAATGGGAATTTGTGGAGAATCCAATTTCATCATTCATGAATAAGACTGCATATGATTGTTTGTCAATGTTCATTTTAAAGTTTATCAATTTGATAGGAACAAACCCTTGTTTCATCACATTTCTAATACGAAAAATTAATATAATTGACTGGGTTCGAGTCTTAGAGTGAACATCAACAAGTCTAGGATGTAGGTACATCTAGCTAACAAGTCCTAAATAAGATGAAACTTAAGTCGTGGATTCCACTTCTAGCCACTATCCATCTTTGCTCATAATGCTTATGAATTAAGACATTATCGAGGCAATACACACAGGATGTCAATTACAATCCTAAACATCAATGGGACGATACAAGTAAAACAACAATACCAAATGAACTATGGAAAGTGTTAAGATTTTCATAATGCTCCAACTAACTTGTTGTGTCTTGTGACTGCAGATCTAGATAGCAGCGTATTTATCGACCGGATCCATGACACGTAAAACATGTACGAACGACCTAGAGTCCCGATTGGCCCTGCTTCACTGTTTAGCCCAGCCAGTTCAGTCCAGAACACAAGTCTCAGCTTCTGAGTTATGAATCGTTATACTTCAAACATATTCTGTTTATATACCAATCAAACAAACCACATCGTACCATAAAATAGAAAACAACATCTGTACAATATTTAACGAGGGAAATAAATAATGGCCAATAGGGAATGACCATTTAAAGTCCACCCAACACTAAACATACAGTAGTGTAACATAAGTCAAGTCAAGACAATGATAAAGTTAGAGAAATGAAATACCAATTCATAATAATAACAAAAAATGGTGATACAGTTTCTCTGTCATTCCATTCAACACATGAATGAGTTTATTAATACAAGACATAACTAATGTCATTCAATCATCACATCCCTGTTGACTATTCGCAGATTGATATTCATGGAGAATATTTGTAATTAGTTGTCAAGGTGCCAACAAATTTGAGCATAAAATCTATTTAAAGCTAAAAAATAAACAACTTGGATTCAGTAAGGAATGCCTAGATACACAACTCCACAATACCATGAAGATTGTTTATGCTTATTAACTGATATTAACCGAAGAGAAGGAACTAGTTAATAGCATATGTAAGTAAGTAGTGAAACAATATAGTTTGTATAACATAACTATTGAGGATTATAAATAAAGGAGTAGCTGTTTTGTCCTCGTGTTGAGACTCCTCCACAGTGTACACCCATGATTGCATCAAAGATCGAACAGAAGACTTTAATCTTCAACAAGGAGTGATGGTATCGAAACTGTTATACCTCTAAACTTATCTAAGTTTTGCACGAAGTTAATTTATAAATTATGGGTTTGGTAATGAATAACAAACTAGAGAATTTACTCAATTAACAATTTAACTGATTGAAATCATGAGTTAATTGAAGCTAGACCACCATGGAAAACCTGGAGGCACTGGACGGCCATTCCGTCCTATTGTGGGACTTCTCAGCAGAGCACATTCACGATCCCTCACCTCACGAGGCTCGAACCCAGGAGCTATCAGTCTTGCGCCACGCTCTTAACCAACTAGAACATTGAGCCGCCTGGCACCTATCGGTGTTAATATCTAGCTTCAACCAATCCACGAAATTGCGACACCGTACACCATTGTCTTCAATGAGTTGATATCTATCTCACAACAGACCTGGTTGAACCCCAATGGTAACGGCAATAAATATATATCACAAGCTGAATAATGTAATTTCGAAGAAAGTGTTTATTGTCCTATATGTGAATAGTTTTCAGAAGGAGCTGTCATCTATTAGGAAGCCGTTGAAACTTGAGTATCACTGGTTTTGTCCTGATTTTCTTATGAAAATCTAAGCACCAATCATAATGGATGAACAGATTATTCAACAGTAATTCATTAAAGTCAATAACTCCAGCGAATTCAGTTCGAACCAATATGTTGAATTGCTTACAAAAATATCTCAATGCATGAAGACCACAAGTTCCCTTTCACTTTGTGATTGATGGACGTGTTAGATAGTGTCAATCGAGCACAAACTAGGTAATAAATGCTCCATTTCCATTTCATTTTATTTAAGCGCATCAAATAAATATGCGTCACATAAATCATTAGATTTATATGAGTGCTGGGAAACTGCCTGAGTGCTCAAACCGAAGCAGGTGGTTTTCTAAAGGGGCTAGACACAGAGATTTCAACTTAAATGTCTAATCCTCAAAGCAATGCATCGACGTCAGGAGATACAATCCCATGGTAGACAATGACCAACGATTGGTTCATATGGTTTTGTTCCTTCAGGATCCTGGAGCCCGTGTGCACGATTGGTTTGGAATTAGGGTTTTCCAACTCCCCTAGATGGATCCTCCATGCTGAGGACTTTCATACTATGACGAAACGGCCATCCAGTGCTTCTACGTTTTCTATGATGGTCTAGATTTAATTGATTTATGAATTCCACTATTGAATTATTATAATATTCACAAAACCCCTCTCTCATTGCAATCGTCATATGCTAACTAGTGATTGGCTTTTAGACGTATTTCCTGGAGTTCTAGTGAGAAACAGTGAGCAGCGGAGTTCTACCGGGTCTGTTGTGAGATAGTAACTTAGTGTGGAATCACAATACATGTCAAACTCAATAACCAGAAAAGAATTAGTAATCTATATCATATTGCCTAGATATTGACCATTCATTCAGATAGGCTATATTATGTAAAGCAAGAGTTGATGGATCAAGATGAGATATGGTATCACATCATGACGTTATCAAATGTTCGATCTAAACATTGAGATTTCCAGGATAAACTTAATCTTCAGTAGTATAAATGCTACACTTATTACTTATCATTTTGAAAATCTTCCGTTTTCATATTATTTATACATTTCAGTTTTAAACTTCACTGTTCTCCTTTAAACACTATTTTGTTGAGCTTGTTTTCTAATGTGGGATAACAGATCTTGGATTTTGACGCGAAATTGATTCATCCATTTGGATAAATTGAGTTTTGACATTATAACGGATATCAGTTCGTGATGAAAACCCCATAAATCTATATCCTTACCTTAATCATCAACTGCAAAATCATAATTCCATTTCGTCACACACTGGTTTATAACGCTCCTTTGATCCTAGTTATTAGGTGGACACATTCAGGGTCACTTTGTGTCGCTTAAATTATAGTTTCACCAATGTTTCATTCCTTTCCTGTTTAAGATGTAGATGAAGATCGTTTACTATGAACGATGTTGCCTTGAGATGATCTTGAATTATTGAATGATAGAATTTGAAAACTGCTACCAGTGAATGATATTTCCGAAATTGAGTGATAATATTTATGTCACTATGCCGAAAGATCTTCATCTATGCGTTAAATGGTTTCCAGACTGAAACTGCTGAGAGATCATGGGTCACGGTCAAAGAGCTATCTAGTGCCTTCCGATTTTCTGAAGTTCATCAGCTGATAGTTAGGAATAAGTGGTATCTTCAAATTACATGTACGTCTACACTTACACACACACACTCACTCACACACCATTTACCTAAGTAAACACATAACACCGCAAAATCTACAAAGTTCAGTATTTCCACTTATCGAATAAATGGTGCTTGGATCTTTAATCTCTATAAGCCTAATTTTTCATTCTAAAAATTAGAAAACAGGCAATTTCGAGAGATTTATTAAATTATCTGATGACCTGGTAAATTCGAGAGTCAGCTCTCCCTCTCGAAATGCTCTCACATGGTCACGCGTATATAGCCTCTGCCAGGGAAGTCCTACTCACTGCCTTCTCGAAGTGGTGGTGTTGTTTACGAAATTGAGAGGAAGAAAAGCAAATGTCCGGAGCTTCAATCAGCTTGATGGATGTGAAGGATTCACATAGGGCAGTTGGAAAATCCTGATTCCGAACCAATGCTCCACATAGGTTCAAGGATCATAATGGAACGAATGGGGTATGAACCAATTGTTGGTCACTGGTTACCATGAGACTGACTGCATGTTCTAAACTTGCACCACTGCCTTGTGGATCTGACTCTCGGTTGAAGGCTCCGGGGTGTTGCCCACTCACAAATCAAGTGACTTTTGTGGTGCATATGTATTCGGTGCCCCTTTGTACCAATATTAATGTGTTTAAATAAAAATAAACTACTGTATAAGAAGGCTGCCAGTTCTAGACCGAGCTGACGTTTCTCAATGTTCATTGGAATCATGACATCCAGCGACTATTCACATCATATTTCACGTAGATACCCATTCTCATTCTCTGTCTGAATCACTTCATAAGAACTAATGGAGTTTTGTCAGACACCTCGATGTTTAATGCTTGTCAGTCTAAGAGGTCAGTTAGAGTTCACCGAATGAAATAAATAGAATATCCTTGATACTTTTTCAATACTCACACACCCTGAAAATGTGATTGTGAATGCAAGTTTTCGTCTGGTGGAAATCAATAGTATTGGAGAAGAACACTTCACTTCTACCCAAGGTTTGTGCTGCTGATGATGTCGTTCAGAAGAATGATGAACAATCCACGACCAAACCATCCAACTCAGAGAACAAAACTCCATCAACTTCATCTTGAATTTCTTGTTATTTGCTTGCACTGATGATCATTGAAAGCATCGTGATTCAGAAAGAACATTTACAGATCAACACAACTCAGCAGGAAATGTGATTGTTCGATTTACTTGAAGCCAATCTCTTCAACTATTTACCTCGAAAGATTCAGATCAATTAGCGGAAATGTTCGATCACTTGAATCTCGATGTGCTTCTTAGACAGACTACTTAATCCTGATTTAACGGTTCACCAAATAGTCAAGTCTTCATGAATTTCCTACAAAATGGAGACAACTTATACCTTTACACCATTTTTAAGTAGGAATATCAGCATTCAGAACTTGTATGTGATAAATAAAATGTGACAGACAGTTTGATCCAGAATGACCGTTTTAACGTCTCATTCTAAACTCATCAGAGGAGTGTAGTTACATCTCGGAGTTATCCACTTAGTTACCGATGCCAGATAACCACTCACTCGTGCATCAGGTATGAATTTCAGGTTGCTTTGTAATATGATTCTGATACATTCAACTAACAAGTCTCAGATACAACAAAACATACATCTTGGACAACATTGTTAACCGCATTCTATCCTTGTCATTAAAAACCTCTGACACCATGTCGATATAGATGATATACATGTCAACTGAAACTGATTAGAATTCTATTGAAGTATCAACCGTGGAACTACCATAGCCATTACAAATGAAACCCGACTATTGTTTCTACCTTGACGTCTTGGTCGAGCCTGCCTATCGTGATGAACCAATAGAGCTATACTGGCTGGAACAATCGTTCCCCAAGATTCTACCATGCCAGACAGGTCTGCTGAAGAACTGTAAGACCAAGAGCAACAAACCTAAAGTCCGAGGGCGAAGTCATACTGTTGACTGCACAGGAGTGTGACAGCAGTAAGATGTTGCTTTCAGCCCTCTCGAAATGCTCTCACATGGTCACGCGTATATAGCCTCTGCCAAGGAAGTCCTACTCACTGCCTTCTCTTGGCGGAAGTGTTGTTTACAAAAATGAGAGGACGAAAGGCGAATGTCCGTCAGGCGCTTTAACCGGATTCCAAACTGATGGTGCACATGGGCTCCAGTATCCTGAAGGAACAAATGGTGTATGAACCAATCGTTGGTCACCGGCTTCCATGAGGCTGTATCTCCTTACGATGCTTCACAGCCTTGTGGATCAGACCTTCAGGTCGAAGGCTCGTTGAGTGTTGCGCATATCTATTTGGTGCTTCCTTGTACCAATATCTATGTGTTAAAATAAATAAATAAACCATCATCACAGCGATGCTGCCTTCCCACATAGAGGGGTGGGGTTAGAAGTGGTCCATCCTGAAAATGCACACCTCACCTTATCCCACGGATATTTATCTCCAGTGGAAAGCTCTCAACAAGTATGGAGCTAACGCGATTACTACTCACACAAAAGTCGTGTGTGACTGACTTCAAGCAGTTCTTCTTAGGCATTGCTGTCACGCTCTCAGGTCACTAAGACCACGCCTACTCAAATTTCCTTTCAGGTACCTCCAGAAGAACGCTTCAACGGTGTGGGCAACCATGAAGTGATAGCCGCCCTCATATCTATAACAGCACTCAAGACAACTGTATTAAAAATGAAACTAATCATTCAGAACGTTATCATCCTTCAACTCTATTCATAAATGAATCATCAACAATATCATCTATACTAATTTTTTTTTCTTATAAAATGAAAAATAAAACAAAACAAAACATAAACAGTACAGTACAGTACAGTACAGCACAGAATAGAATGAGATCTTATAAGAGAAATAAAAACACTAACCAATAGAAATTCAAGATGATAAACATGAAGAACAAGAAAAAAACAAAAAAAGATAAAGGAGACTCATTGAAATAATCGATAACAATCTTGTAAAAAAAAGAGAAAAGGGAGAAAATGAGTGAGATAAACGACGAGAAAACAACAACAAAGAAAGTATGGTGATACTTCAACTTAAATAATTGACCATTCGTTGTCATAGAAACAAACATGGGAAGTAAAAAATCGATCAGAGACGGATTTTTTTTTGTGTGTGTGTGGATATTATTAATAATTTTACTAAGTGAATGGATAAGTCAATTGAAGTTAGACTATCATGAAAAACATGAAAGTAACAGATGGTTGTTTCGTCTTGTTGAGGAATACCATACTAGAATGAAATGACTATCTAGTACTTCCAGATGGTCTAGTTTCAATCAAGTCATCAATCCAACTACTAAACAATCTAGCATTGAATTCATACGTCTCGACTCATTAATTAGATTACAAGTGATTCATATTGCATTGTGTGTGTGTGTGTAACTATATAGATTGTGTAGAAGATGTGTGCAACCAATATAACTAACTCTTATCATTATAGTATAGCATTACAAACGAGTTTTTTCTCTCGAAAAACGGCATTAATTAAAAATACTACTCAAACTGTTTAATAGTAGTATCATCATGATAATTAAAAAAGAGAATGGACATGATGATAAAAAGATGATGAATTTCAAATTAGTCTTGCTTTTCTTTTCAATGAAAGACTTTAAATCTGACCACAGAATGCTTGATAATAAATGATTGATGTAATGTGAAAAGAAGTGTTTTTGTTCTCCTTTATCAAAAAAGAAGAGAAGAAAATAATCTCCAATATGAAAAGAGGTTGCATAGGCATAGCAACAACAAAAATTATAGGGATTGATTAAGATCATCAATCAATTGATTTTAGATCACTATTGAAAGCCTGAAAGCACTGAATGACCAGTTCTTCGTCATCTGATCAGTCCAGAATGGCTATCCAATGGTTCCAGGTTTTCAATAATGATCTAACATCAATTGATTCATGATCTTAATCAAAAACAAACAAAATGAGGCACTTTCAATCATCATCATAATAATAATCAATTAATATTGTTTCAATGGAATGCGAGAACTTGAATAAGATCTTGTTGATATAGGTATCAATGAGCCATGTCTCAATTTACTATTTATAGAAATTAATGGATTAATTTGTTTAGAATGATTCGATTGATATAAATGATCATCTATTACATAATTATCTGGATGTCTTTTATTCTCTCCTGATGTATATACAATTTGTACTGGTTTATTGATTAATTGATGATTGACTTGTTTACATGATGATGAAGACGACGACGACGATGCTACTGCTGTTGCTGCAGCTGCTGACGCTGATGTAGATGTAGATGTAGATGATAATTTACGATTAAACATATTAGCTGATTTACTTCTACTTTGATTTTGTTGATTTCTACTCTGATGATGATGATTATTATTATGATGTAACGGTGATGATTTCAACTGTTGCATTGTAGATTTTCTTTCTGTTACATGATGACTTTTTACTGATTGTATTCGATGATTATGAGTAGTATAACTATTCCAGTAAATTTATTATTATTACTTTTACTACTTTTAATATTAGTAGTAGTATCATTCATGATAGGCAAAACTGAAATCCTTTCAACTGGTCTTGAATTCTTTCTATCTATTGATTGTTTACAATTTATATTTAATGAATTTAATGATTTGGATAAATTTTGATTATTACGTAATCTATTCTCTATTGGGTTCTGATGTTGTATAGAATTACAATGTCTACTATTAATATAATAAGTAGTACTACTACTACTACTTGTAGGAGTAGTGGTAGCAGTAGGAGTAGTAGTATTTGGGAAACATGGTCTCTTTACAATATATGGTTTCATATTAGATTTATCTAATTCATTTCTTATGATAGTAATAGTTGATTTTTGTTTTAGTAGTTTGTCAGTAGTATTGAATGGTTTTCTAATCAAACTATTCTGATCTGTTTTAGAATCATTATTACTATCCTTATTATTAATATTACTATTGTTAGTAGTAGTAGTAGTAGTAGTAGTAGTAGTAGTAGTGGTAGCAGTAGTATTAGTAGTAGTAATGCCATTACGTAATGACTGTGAATTATCAAAACTTTCATTTGACCAATCTTTTGTAAGATTATCATTGAAACTAGTTTCTTCAACATCTGTTGATGAATTGGTCGGATCTTTCATATATTGATCTGGGATAATAAATCGTGGAAAATGTGTAGAACAATTCAAGTCGCCATCATCAACATTATCATTATCATTATTCAATGAAGTTAAATTGAGTTCAGAGAAAAACTGTTATAAAATGGAAAAGAGAGAAAATATGTGTAAGTTATTAAATCATTTATTATTTATCATTTAGTGAACCAATGAAAATTAAAGAAGATTAGAGTTGATGTTTCGTTGAAATATGAGACTCTTCAAATATGTATACTGTTGTAGCGGTAAATAAATCCTCAATATCAATAGCTTTGTAATTCTTCGACAATGGATGCTGACCACATTAGTTTTAATGGACTCACATAGTTGAAGACTCTTGGCCATGCATCCGCACCAGATCATGAGTGGGAATGTTGTGCTCGACATCCTCTGCAATGTCTAGCCAGTTTAGTTAAGTCGATTCACGATATATTGATAGCCTATCGAATATATCTTCGAACCTCCTCGATTCTGACATTTGATTTTACTTGGTGGGTACGATGGATAGTAGAAGGTATTACTGGTTAAAGCGTTGTCAGACTCCAAACACCTGTGGCATCGTCACTGTTATATCCTGATGAGAATAGTGGATGGTAGTTGTTGGGATCTATCTGTGGATTGATCGTATACATATAGTCCTACTGTGTAACTGTTCAGTAACTACGTTATGTATTTATTCCTCTTATTATACGCTTTATTTTGATCCATAGACTATAATGATATGATTTACGGTTCTTAAGTTATAACCAGTCTATTAATTACAGTCTCCCACATTCACAACCACATTTGGCGAGAACTATTTTATGCTAAAATGTGGTCTGTTTGCTTTGTATATAAACGCAATATGTTTGAAATATATGATTAGTATCACGGAGGCTGAGATTTGTGTCCTGGACTTAACAGGCATGTCTAGGCAGGAACGAGAACAGATAAGGATTCTAGACTGATCGTACGGGTCAACTAGTCATTGGTCCTGTCTATAAGACACTGTTCTCTACTCTAATTGGTGGTATCGCTACATTATATATGATTGATAGGGCACAGAGCAACAAGTTATAACATACACTCACTATCGATAAAATTCATATCCAAAAGTTAACAGTCTATTAATACAAGGAATTAGAATTATGATTTACACTTGATGGTTAGGTTAGGTTAGGGTTAAGAACTAGATTTACAGTTTTCATTATGAACTGATATCAGCTAAAATGTGGAAATGCTATTCAACCAAATGGATGAATAAATTTTGTATCAAAATCCAAGACCTTTTATCCTAAATCTGATTGCTTCGTCTATAAACTATAATCTTGACGAATATTCAATTTATTATTAAATTTTAATCAACATATGCTCACAAGTGACTGGTTTCAAGAGGTATTTCTTGGAGTTCTAATGAGAAGCTGTAACCAATGGAGTTGAAACAGGTCGGTTAGGAGATATTAACCTACTGTAAACAATAATGGATGCATCGCTCAATTTCATGGATTGGTTGAAGTTAGACATTAACACCGTTGGATACCGGCAGGTTCAGTAGTCTTGCGTTTAAGCGTTCGCGTATGAGAATCGATAAGTCGTGAGTTCAAATCTCCCGATGCGGTATCGCAGATGCACACTGTTGAGGAGCCCTACAATACAATGAAACGGCTATCCAGATCTCTCATTATAGTCAAACTTCAATTAATTCATGATCTTAACTACTAAAACTTAATCCATATTGGAAATATTTATCGAATATTTTTTATACTACTTACTTGTGATTTAGTAAGACCATTTGATTCTTCTAAAGATGTTTTCAGATGAGTTTGATTTTCATTCACATTTTTCATTGATTCCATTAATTCTGAATCAGTTTTATGATTCAGTTGTACTTTCCCATTAGAACTATCATTATCATCATCATGGTGATCATTATCTCTATGTGATTGTTTCTCCTTAGTTACAGATGATGTACGTTTTTTCACAACATTCAATTTACATTCTACCATGTTTTGAGTTTTATCTTCATTCAATTTGGAATTTTGATTCATTGAATTTAATTTACATGATCCTACTATAATCAAAGAAAGAAAGAAATTAGAAGAGATACGTTTTAGTGATGTGAAGTATTTCTTGGAATAAGATCATTAATTGATGAACGTCAGATCTGAAAGTACTGGATAGTTAGTTGTTTTGTTCCGGTATGCGATTTCTTAACAGTGAGAATTGACGAGCTCGTGCATTGTATTCAGACTTAGAACTTTTGGTTATGCATGTGAACGTTCAACTTATAGACCACAGATCCGGTTTTAGTATCTCAGTCAGTCAGTCAGCGACAACGTAGGCCAGGCACTTATACACATCGGTCCGAGTTCACATATCTCATTAGCACAACAAGATCAACACCAAATTCACAAAAAGTAGTTACTTCAATGTTAGTGATATATAAAAGGAAGGCTTATGAAGAAATATGTAAAGTAATTTTCATCTCATAGTTTAAGGGAAGACAACGAGTATATACACGGATGCCATTGTGATCGATTCTGAGCCATGTCACACATAGTCTCCAACCATTGGTAACGATTGTCACACGGACCCCAACCAAGTAGTCTGCATCTACCAACATGACACAGATAAGAAGTTAGTGACTTCAATGACTGATGCCAAGTTTTGATTTGGCCGCCTCTAACTTTCTTCCAACCAACTCCAACACTAGTCAGAATTGCGCGTCCTAGTGATCGGTGATTGGGCATACGTACCACGTGTTATTGTCTAACATCAAGCAATCCGAAATAGTGGATACACACTCTTCAACAGCCTCATACTAGAACAAAACAACCGTCAGGTGTTTCCACGTCTTCAATGGTGGTCTAACATTCATCGATTCGTGATCTCAATCAAAAATTAAAATTGTATTCATGACATTAAATCACCAAGTTAACATTCATCATGTTCATGTAATCACGTATCGTTAACTTCCTGATTCTAATGTGATGTCATATCCTATATATGCAGACTGTGAATCATTTGATATTGATTCAAAGACTAAATGGTGTCATACTTGTCAAGCAACTAAAATTTCTTGAGGTTAATACAGTATATAACTCCGCCTGGAGCCACTCTTGGGTGACGGCTGGTCCCAAGCCCGGATAAAGGAGGAGAGTTGGGTACGGGGATGGCGACCACATCCCATAGAAAACTTACTCGATAAAATAACGTTAATCAGGAAAAATAATTCGAACCATTTAAACTCTGCTTTGGCATCTAGAAGATCTTCATTTAGAAGAGTTGTGACACCTCATGATGAAAGCCGAATTCTTTCGGAAGTCACGAGGCTGATGCTCCTTCTAACAACCAGAGAAACCATTAATTGAGGTACATGGAATGCTCGTATAATGTGGGAGATCGGGAGGGTCTTCGAAATTGCTGCAGAAATAATACTGTGTATAGTTATAGGTTGACACACTTGGAAATCTTAAACTAGAACATAAATACATATTCAGTGTTTGTTAGATTTCACTAGTTCTTCAAATAATGTTACTTCATAATGAGAAATCTCTTTACTTGCTATATATATTACTGAGAGTTGATTGAAGTAATTAATCTAGACTGTAAGAGTTCAGCTCAACAGCCTAAACTTATCATACTGTGGGGACCATCCACGGATAAACTCGAACATGGTTTAAGAATTTCAGATAGAAACGAAGACATCCCAACCAATTACCTTTTAGAAGAATATTCCAGAATTTCTATGTGTAGCTTTCCTATTGGAGAAATGCTAATCACCCCCTGTGTGCGAATTGGATATCTATAATGATGATTTCGTTTTTACTAAAAACTATAAATACCTGACAGTTTTGTACTTTGATTTGACACTGTGTGGAATAACATTCCTTTCATTAGTCTTCTGTCTTCTCATTGCCACTTGAAAGGATTCTAACCTTCAAGTGTTCAAGTTATACGTGGTACAAGAAGAAACGAAGCTCTAGACATAACACATACTCTGCGAGAAACGTGAAAAGATGGTGATTTAGAGATTGATCCCATTGTAAGGTCTAATCAATCCCTAACTAGAAGTAACTATCTATTTAGTATCCCCGAAGTTTTTAATGATCCTTTGGTTGATAATTTCTCTCTAAATTCATACAATTATTTACCTTCTTAAGAACCAATTAACCAAAAGGACAAAATGTCCTACTAATTAAGATACAAATATATCAATCTTTATTGCTTCATATATGCCCGTATATAGTTTTATTAACGATTTTCTGATCTTTTAGTGAATTATACAATACGTGAGAACCTGAACACGGTGGATCTGATACGGATGTGAATGCAAGGATAGGCATAGCAAGAACAGGATATCTACAATTGAAGAATATCTGGAACTCAAAACAACTGTCTTTCAATCAACACCAAAGTCACGATTTTCAATACAAATGTGAAGACAGTTCTACTCTATGGGGGCGGAAACTTGTAGAACTACGAAAACAATCATCCACAACATACAAGTGTTCGTTGACAGTTGTCTATGCAAAATATTTCGGATTCGTTGGCCAGAAACTACACTATCAGCAACAACCTACTGTGGCAGAGAACAAACCAGAACAAAGTAATGGAGTAAGAAATCAGAGAGAAGCGCTGGAAGTGGATAAGACACACACACTGAGGAAAGCACACAACTGCGTCACAAGACAAGTCCTCATCACTCGTAATCCTCAAGTCCAAAGGAGGAGAGGAAGAAGACTAAAGAACACATTACGCCGATAAATTGAAATAGACATGAGAAGTATGAACAACATTGGATAGAACTAGAAAGAAAGGCCAAATAGAAAGTTGGTTGGAGAATGATGGTCGGCGGCCTATGCTCCATTGGCGATAACAGGCGTAAGTAAGTACGTAAGTGGTAACCGAATCTAATGACCGCCGTCAAAAAAGTCGAAGTTACCATAGTTTCCCACTCAACATTATCATACTTTGTTATCGGTAGGATTGATGACATGAACTCAGGCTCAGAGAACACACTAATCTCAATTAATAAACTAATAATTACTGTTACTAACCCTGCATCGTTAAAGCACGATCTAATAACATACGAAATGTAAAATATTTTGATACAATCAAACAAGTAAAGCTTCGTAAAACTTTAAAAGTGAATAGAAAACATCCTTACATGGATTAACTTTACGACATTCATCGTATTTTGATAAGAAATGACTCAGTGTATCCCAGCCACCACCGACTCGAACCATCACATGATTTCTCAGTATCTAAATTAAAACAATAAAGTAGGTCTAGTTGAAAAGATACAACAAGTCGAAACAAACTTAAATCATGTTACGTAACATTTTAGATGTCAGTCAATTACCCGACGTTTGCCATGGGGGCAATGAACCTCATTAAGAACTCATGATATATGAGACATAAATGGATGTAGAAAAGTCGACATAGTGAATTAAACCAAGCCGATGTACAGAATCAACAATTTATACTGTTCAGATAGGTTTCATTTCATCTTTACTCATAAAACAATTTTGACTCTTTTCATTTCATTACACTTACTGTTCCATATAACTTGAACAAACAGATCAAAACATGAAACTTTGTTATAATCATAACAATAGTTATATCCAAACCCATTTCAGTCGCAAGGTGCGGGATAGTGATACTCACTACTGAGGAGTCTCATACAAGGAAGAAAATGGCGATGAATTTAAGTGTTAAATTACTAAAATCTTCACAAAATCCCCTCCTGATTAAATGGATACTTTTTCAAGTGAAGAATTTAAACTACTTAATTTTATTTAAACAGTATAACTATTTCCAGATAAGTTTTATTGAGCAACTACTTGACATGTATTGAGAAACAAACATTTATGTATGTATATATATTTAATGACATATAGAATCATATTGATATTGTAATCTATATAATCTCCGCTAAAAACCAAAACTTCGCCATAAGAGGTCCATTAGAAGTGAGTAAAAGAGAAGATACATCATTTCTTTCAACAATTAGAAGTAGTGTTATTATTATTATTATTATTATTATTATTATTATTATTATTATTATTATTATTAGTAGTAGTAGTAGTAGTAGTAGTAGTAGTAGTAGTAGTAGTAGTAGTAGGAGGAGGAGGAGGAGGAGGAGGAGGAGGAGTGTGTTTAATTTATATGACCAATTAGTAGTTCACAGCATGATTATGACAATTATAATTGATGGTGAGTATAAACCAAAATGCTTGATCAGATATACTTAAATCAAATTGGTAATGACATTGTTAACGCATATATAAAATGATTCAATAAGAAATTTAATTGTACTCAAATTCTTGCCAGTATACTTATAAACATATAATCAATTAAGTGATATAGACCATTGAAATGGTTCTCCAAAGTATACTCACTGTATGCGCATTATTTATGTATATTTCACTCATTCAGTTAATAATTCGGAATGACATTATTTGTATTGAAGTAACCGAATTGTAATGAACACAATGGAATTTCAATATAATGATTACTAACCCCCACACACCCAAACATACACATTCTTGTAGTGAACAAGAACAACGGTAGTGACAATTGAATACATTTAAATACAACATTGTAGAATCGCTTAGTAAAATCTGAGAAGCATGAAGTGAATACTTCATTGTTGTTTTGTTTCTACACTAATCATTTTTTGTTCTTGTTCTCATTTCATCACTGAACTTCTTGACCTTTTGCCATTAGGCATTTCACTTTCGATTGATGATATATACTACTTATATCTGTCAATATCAGTAGCCCATACCACATTCTTAGTGACAAGAAACCATCTATAAATTTTAAACAAAGTGTTTAACGGATTTAAATGACTACTGAACCTGCCGGCATCCAACGGTATTGATGTCTAACTTAAACTAATCCACGAAATTGAGCGATACATTCATCATTGTCTTCAGTGAGTTAGTATCAAACAACAGAACCGGTTGAACTCCACTGATCACTGTTTCTCACTAGAACACCAGGAAATACCTCTTGAAACCAGTCACCATTATGCATATGTTGTTTAGTATCAGAAGGGGTTTGGTGGATATTATAGCAATTTCAATGGTTGGGATCATGAGTCAGTTGAAGCTAGATCACCATGGAAAACCTGAATGCCGGCTCAGTGGTCCAGTTGTTAAGCGTTCGTGCATAAGACTGATGGGTCCTTGTTTCGAATCTCACGGGTGGCGGGATCGTGGATGCGAACTAGTGAGGAGTCCCACAATAGGACGAAACGGCCGTCCACTGCCTCCAGGTTTTTCATAGTGGTCTAGCTTCAGCTGACTCATGATCTGAGGCATTGAAACAAAATGTGCCTAACGGATTTTAATGATTCATATCTGTTGTTTTTAGCAATAGTCTAGAGAATCGTAATTATGTTATGGATTTGGTAACAATGGAAATTTCTAAAACATAATTATCATTTTCTTAAATTAACAATTATATTTTCGATAGTAACCAGTAGCAAATTATAAGATGTGTGTTACCATCTATTTGAGAATCGTTAAGTGATGTACTGGCTCGTTGTTAAAACATTTTTATCATTCAATTAGATACTATTATGAAACCCCTGTCTAATGCTTTCAGGTTATCAATGGTGATCTAACATTGATCAATTCATGAAGTTAGTGAAATCCAACAATCTTTCGCAACTCCATATTGGTGATATTTGTTTAGATTGAAAACTAACTTTCACGTTAATAAAATTCTGAAAATATGTCAATCATCTTAGGAACAGATTTTTCCACAAACCACAAATCCCACTAAAAGCCCTATTACGGTCGAGGGTGAGGAGAGTTAGCTCTCTCCCTCTTCAATTGCTCTCACATGACCATGTGCATACAACCACTGACAGGGAAGTCTTAATCACTGGCTTCTCATACCACGGGTGATGTTTACGAAATTGAGAGGATGGAAATCAAATGTCCAGCGCTTTAACCGCAATGATGGATACGGAGGATCCACGTAGAGGAGTTGGGAAATCCTGAATTAAAACCAATGTTGTGCATAGCCTCCAAGATTCTGAGGGAACGAATGGCGTATGAACCGATCATTGGTCACCGGTTACCATGGAACTGCATCTCCTAACGTTACTCCACTTCCTTGTGGATAAGACCTTTGGGTTGAAGGCTCTGGGTGTGGCCCCCTAAAAAACCACCTGCTTCGGTCTGGGCACCTGGGCAGTATCATAGCCCGCATACAAATCAAATGACTTGTATGGTGCATATGTTTTCGGTGCCCCTTTGTGACGATATTTATGTGTTCACGTAAATAAAAAATAAATACCTAAATCACAATGAATTGAAATATTTCACAATCTTAATTCAATATCATTTGTATTATTCTATGGATTGAATAACACCAGTATTTGTGAAAGATAATCTGACGTAGAACATTTTGGAAACTATTCCAAGCAGAATGAATAATATATCATTTGACTACATATTCTTTCTACGAAGAGAAAATTACTAAATTAAAAAATGAAATTGATCAATTCAATATAACTACTTAAATTATTTAAAGTAGTATAAATATGAATACAACATTTATCCAATATTCATCCTCGTATTTTTATAGATCTATTCAGGTGTGTATGAACGATGATAATGAGGTCAACAGTAGAAGAGAGGGGTTACTGATTACTTCATTTCTGCGAATCTATCTAGTTAACTCTTCAAATCGTTGATTTTATAAGGAAAATTATCAGTTGAGAAAATTTATTCCAAATTAATTATTTTATCAAATCATCTGAACTAGTGTAACATCGGTAAACATACATTCAATAATTACATTTTAGATTGGGATTATGAATCGATCGGTGTACGACCACCATTGAAAATCTGGAAGCACTGGACGGCCATTTCATCCTAGTATGTGACTCATCAATAGTATGCATTCACGATCCTGCACTTTAGATTCGTATGCGAGACTGAAAGTCCTGGGTTCGAATACCACAACTGGAATCATAGATACGCACTATTGAGGAGTTCCATGCTAGGACAAAACGGTTATCCAGTGCTTCTAGTTATTCAGTTGTGGCTTAACATTAATCGATTCATCATCTCAAACAAAAACTTAACATTCTCCACAACCCTATAGTGATAATTACATTTTAGATTATTGAAAATTATTTAACACTATAAATTTCTTTAAAGAAATCTAAATCTAAATCATTTCACTTGATTAAATTGCATTTGAAGGGGCTTTGTGTATATTATAGAAATTTCAGTAGTTCATATCATGGGTCAATTGGGGCTAGAACACCATGAAAAACCTGGAAGCATTGGACGGCCGTTTCGTCCTATTGTTGAACTTCAGTAGTACGCATCCACGATCCCACCTTTGAGATGGTGGAGAAGATTTGTAGCTCAGGTAGATGATTTTGGTAGAGTTTTGTTCTCTGAGCTGGATGGTTTGGTCGTGGAGCTTTCATCGTTTTTCTGAACGACATCATCATTCGAACACTTCACTTCTATCTGAAGTTTGTGTTGATGATGTCGTTCAAAAGAACGATGAAAGCTCCGCGACCAAACCATCCAGCTCAGAGAACAAAACTCCACCAAAAACGATCCCACCTCCCGAGATACGAACCCAAGACCTATCGGTTCGAATCTCACAATTGAAAGGTCCTGAGTTGGAATCTCACAAGGTGGGACCGTGGATACGCACTGCTGAGGAGTCCTATACTAGGACGAAACGGCCGTCCAGTGCTTCTAGGTTTTCCATGATGTTCTAACTTTAACTGACTTATATGATCTCAACTATTTAAATTATATTTAACAATGAATATATAAAACAATCAATCCTTCATAACAAATGATACTATTTACTTGTAATCAAACTAATCAGTTAAACTCATTTGCAATTCAAATGAATTCTAATTAATATGAAATGATTGTGGTGTGTTGTTAGTTTGTTTTCATAGTGCTATCATTATTATTATTATCATCAATATTGTCTATTATAATGAATTATTTTGAAGAAACAAGCATACAAGTTACAACTGATTCATTCACTAAATAGCATGATTACATGTTTGTAGATATTTATTGTTTTTAGTGTGATCAGTCAGTCAGTTACAACGTAGGACCAGGCACATATGTGCATCGGTCCAAGTTGTCAAACTTCATTAGCACAACAAATGAACAAAAAAAATCATAGAAGTAATTCGTAGAAAGAAATATATGAAGCGATTTTAATCTCATAGTTTGAAGGAACACAGAGAGTGTATACACCTAAACCATTGTGATTGATTCTGATTCATGTCACATAGAGTATCCAACTATTGGTTACGATAGTCATGCGGACCCCAACCAAGTAGTTTACATCTACCAACATGGTTCAGACTAGAAGTTAGTGACTTTATGGACTGATGCCAGATTTTAGTTTGGCCACCCCTTTTAGCGTAATTCTCCTTGTTTGTGAAATAAAATCACATTAAACAGAGATAGATGGTGTCTAGCAGTGGGATCCAACACGTTCATTTCGTTCTACTTGAGAAACGTCAGCTGGATACACCTACATTTCATGGTTGATATTCTAATCTAGTACAGTTCGCTTCAAGCGTCATCAGTTTATGCACTTAGCTACCAAGTTCAGATAGCCACCGAGTTATGCAATGGGATGAAGTATAGTTCATTTGTATTGGATTGTTTGCACTGGATTCTAATGCTAGCCATCACTTATCTCTGGTTATAATACTTGTGACTTAATGGCAATATCAATCAAAGGAATCTGAACAGAGTGAACATATGCTAAAAGAAATTGATCAATTGCAAGCTAATTCGAATAACCAGTTTATTCATGTTGGTGTTAATTTAGCAAGATTATTTTCTACGGGATGTGGTTGTCGATTCCATGCTCAACCCTTTTTCTTTGCATGGGCTTGAGACTAGCAGTAACCCTAGAAGAGCTACAGGTGGATAACCAGTGCAATTTGTTATTCTCTTTTCACTCCTAATCGATCTTTATTGATTTAGGAAACATCTGAACAATTACTACAACTGAATATAAAGTAAATCAGTCAGTCAACAAAGTAGAACTTCGTATGTACGTATATCAGTTCGAGTTGCCACACCACATTAGCACAGAGATGCAGTGGTCAATTCAAATCCCATAGTAGTAGAGGTAATAAGAGTATAAGAATTAATCGGGAAAATTAGTGTTTGGAGAGGTTATTTAAAGAGTATAATACAGTGAAATAAATTTGGGAGAACACAAAGAGTGGATGCACCTGCGCCATTGCAAACGATTTTGAGCCATGTCATTCAAGGTCACAAACCATCGGTTGCTATCATCTCGTGGTCCCCAACCAGGTAGTCTACACCTACCAACATGACTCAGTTCACTTGTCAGTGACTTCATGAACTTGTGCCATGTTTTGGTCTGGCCGCTCCTAGCTTTCTTTCAACCTACTCCTATACCACTGAACATCGCACATCGAAACAGTCGGTCGTTGGGCACACGTAACACGTGTTCCAGCCATCTCAACTGATGAATTTTCACTACGTCATCAATTGATTTGCCATCCTTACCTAGTACCCGTTTCCTAACAACTGCGTTACTTACTCGGTGGTCCCATGATAAACGAACAATGCTTCGAAGACACCTTTGATCGAACACTAGTAACCTACAAATAACCTCTACTCTTACTGGTCATGTTTCACTGTCATAAAGTAGGATGGAATGAACTGCTGAGCAATAAACCTGTCCTTTGGTTGGTAGACGGATATCTCGTTTTCTTTTTAACTTATAAAGTAAATACGAGAAAGTTAAAACAAAAGAGAATAGTACAAATAAGATGACTATATATTACTTACTCGAACAAATATTTGTGTACCTTTATCACCAAATAAATAACGTCCTTCACCAATACGAACCATAGGGAATGTTTGTTTACAAGTACATTGTGATAACAGTTCACGTACCTAATATAAATAATAATTAAAAAGGGAAATCATTGATGATTGTTTAAGAATAGTTTCAATTAGACATTATTTCAATTGAATGAATAATAGATACAATCAATATCAAAGTCAGAATCTGTAATGTGAACGTCAAGACTGTTCTACTGTATGTAATTGAAACTTGGAGAACTATGACAACCATCATCAAATAGGTACAAGTATTTATAAATACTTGTCTACGTAAGATACTCAATATTCGTTGGCTGGATACGATCAGCAACAGCCTTCTGTGAGAGAGGACAAACCAGCTTCCATCTGAAGAGGAGACTAGCAAATGACGTTGTAAGTGGATGAGACATACATTACAGAAATCACCAAACTGCATCACCAGGCAAACCCTAACTTGGAATATTGAAAGGAATCGGAAAACAGGAAATCTGAAGAACATACTACATTCGGAATTGGAATTGGAAATATAAAAAGAATGAATAGCATCTGGGAAGGATTGCCCAGAACAGGGTTAGATGTAGAATGCTGATGAGAGTCCTATGCTACTCCACGAAGAGTGACAGGCATAAGTAAGGAAATTTAGTAAATTCAGTAGAAGTGATGTTAACACTTCGACCCTTTTACTTAGAACATAAAGACGTTATCCATTGAGTTAAGGAGTCAAAATTACTAATAACTTATTCAACGGCTAAGAAGTTACGTAATTCTGCTTGAACTTGTAATCAATGGCAAATATCATGGAAATCTACTCACAATACACATATCCCGATAGGACCAATAGTGTGCAGTGATCGTCTAAAAAAATTATCAATCGAAATAGTCTTTAATATATTTTTTACAACTGATTAATCATTGGGTGGTAAGCAATGTCATATATATAGCGCTGATCTGATTCTATCGATCAAGTTGCAGTGTAGACACTAATTTAGGTCTGAATCTAGGTCCAGGATTTACTATCATCTGCTTCCACCAGCCACCTTAAATCTCAACATAGCACATCTAATGTTAAGTCACCTAGAGTAGTGAGGTCACATTACAACTTTAACAATAGAATTCGATCAGTATTAATAAGAGTTTCATAAACATCACATCGATTACTATTCAGTGATTACTCAATTGTAAAACATACCTTACTCCTACAGAAAGTCAATCATGACCTGGATAACTCAATGGTAACATCTTTAACTGTCAAGTAGGATGAAACAGGGTATCCTATCAACTATCTTCAACCATTATCTTATAGTTTTAAATGCATACAAACAAACTATCAAGAAAATTCTCACTTGTATAACATTCAATACATGGTTCAATCAATGTTTCTGATTAACTATTGTTAATATGAATAATAATAATCACACTTGAATTGATATACTCTAATTTTCTGTGAATTTTCTATACTATCTATTCAAATACCAAGTTTAATTGACAGAAGTACAATGTAATGAACCTGAAATAGTCACTATCATTCAATCATTCTCTATAATACACACACGCATACACACATACATACATACATACATAGATACACAATAGTTTTCTCTTTCAGTAAGTAGGTACATAATAGTTAATATATATGATTAACTATATAGTACTATATTAGATGGTTGTTTTATAAATTAGTTAATTCACTAATTTCTTGTATAACATCACTTCATTAAACTGTCACTTGCCTATTCCTCCGTTTCTATCTTTTTTTGTTTGTTTTTGTTTTCTTCATGTTTTCAAGGTGAACAAAACAAAACAAAATGAACTCAATTTGTCAATCTTAAGAATAATATAATAAAACTATCAATACTACTTATACTACTACTAATACTACTACTACTACTAGTAATAATAATAACTAGCCTCTTTAACCAACATTATCTTATAATGAATAGAGTAAGAGTGAAAAGTTAGTTAAGTTGTATGAGTTAATGAAATTTGAACTGAGGACTTATCGGTCTCGTGCGAAGCACTGACCAATTGAGTTCAACCGGGTCTGTTGTGAGATAGTAACTCACTAAAAACAATGGTGGACGGCGGCTCAATTTTGTGGATTAGTTGAAGTTGGACATTAACACTATTGGATTCCGGCAAGTTCAGTGATCTAAACGTTAAGTGTTCGCGCTTGAGACCAATAAGTCCTGGGTTGGAATCTTGCGAGTCGGGATCGTGAACGCGCACTGCTGAGGAGTCCCATACTAGGACGAAATGGCAGTCCAGTACTTCCAGGTTTTCAATGGTGGTCTAACATCAATCGGTTCATGATCTCAACAACAAAAAATAATGCAAACTAGTCTATTTAACCATTATTATCTAGTAATGAATGTAGTAAGAGTGAAAGTTGGTAAAGTTGTATGAATCAGTGGAAAACCTTTGGTAAATGAGATCTACTTAATTGTTAATATTTGAGATCACGAGTTAATTGAAGATAAAAAACCATGGGAAACCCGAAATTACTGGACGGCCGTTTCGTTCTATTGAGGAACTCTTCAACAGTGGGCAGACACAACCTTGCCTCGCAAGATTCGAACCCAGGACCTAACGGTCTCGTGAGAAGCAGTGACCAGTAGAGTTCAACCGGGTCTGTTGTAAGATAGCAACTCACTGAAGATAATTGTGGACGTATTGACGGTCCCACGTGCGGACACTTAACTTCTAGACCACTGAACCTGCCGGCATCCAACAGTGTTAGTATCTGACTTCAAGCGATCCATGATCTTGTGCAACCCTTCATCAATTGACTGAGGTAGATACCTGTCTCTATCCGATACGGATTGGGTTCCACTGTTCAAAGCTCAGCGGTCTAGAGATTAAGCGTTCGCGCACGAAACCAAAGGTACTGGATTCGAGTCCCTCTGGTGTGGAATCACGGGTGTACACCGCTGAGAAGTCCCTACTAGGACGAAACAGCCATCCAGTACTTCCGGGTTTTCACAGGTGGTTTAACATTGATTTATTCATGATATCAATTAAAACTCAATGATCTCCACAACCCTATACTGATAAAAATCGAATTATTGAATATCAGCTCATTGGTTCGTAAACTGTCGTATTCATCGTAATATGAATTGATGATGAAAATCACTTACATCGTTACTTTTTGTATCATGTTACCTTACTATGCAAAAATGAACTAAAATCCTAATAAATAATCAATAATATCATTTAGTTGCCATGGTAAACATTTATTTAAAAAAAAAGAAAAAAAGTGTGTCAACAACTAATCATGATTGTTTTTCCTTTCCACGGCATCACTAAGTTATTTTTCTTTAAGTTAAACACACACAAACACACACAAACACATACACATGTAGATTCTTCGAACTTAAATTGTTTTTCCCATTGTTTACTCTTTTACATATATTTCTCTAATAACAAACAATTAGGTCATTAATAAGAAAAGACAGAACCAAAAAGGTACGTATTAAGAAATACTGTAGTTCTAAGTTTAAGGAAGGATCAAGGATAAATGTGACCGATCCTACGGCATGAAACTCCTAGTCTACAGTCACTAATAGTAGTTATTATGTTGATCTCAATAACATAGTCCGAGTCTATCGAAATAGCTCAGACCAAGAGTCAATGATTTTATGAAACGATCTCATACCTCAGTATGAACACATCTAACTTTGTTCAAACTTACATCAGCCAGCGTTGTCACTTTAAGCAGGTGATGTTTAAGTAAACTTTAATATATCTCAATCAGCACAGTCAATTAATATCCATGACAAGCACGGTCTAACAATATCGTGGATCGACTTAAATTACACATCAACACGATTGTTCTGTTTATTTATTATTTATTTGAACACATAAATATTGGTACAAACGGGCACCGAATAAATATGCGCCACACAAGTCACTTGATTCATGTGTGGGGTGTGATACTGCCCTGGTGCTCAGACCTAAGCAGGTGGTTTTCTTAGGGACCACACCCAGAGCATTCGACCTAAAGGTCTGATCCGAAAGGCAACATTTGGAGATGCAGTTCCATAGTAGCCGGTGACCAACAATTGGTTCATGCACCGTTTTTGGTTTAGGATCCTGGAGCCTATGTGCACCATTAGTTTGGAATCAAGGTTTTCCAACCAAGGCATTTGAAGTATATGATATCAAATAGATCACTTTTTGAAGGTACTTTATATTCATCAACACAGTGCTAGTTGGGGAGGTCTGTGAGGGGAGTGACGTCGAGTGGAGTGTTCTGGTGGGGCGGCGTTGGCTTTAGCGGGTGCTGTCGGCGAAGAGGAGCAGTGGGACTTGCGTCTGCTGGGCGGACATCAGGTGTAGATGACTTAGTAGGTCGCCGGACCGTAAGCACAGGACGTCACGGGTGCGGGTGAACATCGGATTTTGATGACCTGGCGGGTCAACGGCGCTACAGAGGTCAGTGCACCTCAGACTCGACATTTTGACGGAGAGCGTGTTACGGGTTGCGGAGAAAAAGAAAGTGGCACGGCGAGCAGAACCACTGCAAGAACGCCTGTTTTGAAAGGGGAAGAGTGTGGTGTGTGCTGCTGATGTCAACAGACAAAAGTAGTATGTATCATCAATCGAAAGTGAAATGCCTGGAGGCAGAAGGTTAAGAGGATCGAAAAGAAGAGAACGAGAACAAAGAATGATTGGTGTGGAAACGGAGGAACAGTGAAGTTTGAGACGATTGAATGATATTTTGCAAATGAAGTATTTACTGTATGATTCTCAGATTTGACTAAGTTGTTCTGTAATTTTGTATTTACATACATTTGGTTGTCCCCTACATGTGTTCTCGTTCACTATAGATGAACTGTGGCTAATAATGTAATTGATATCAATGTTTCATTCTGGTTGGAATCAGTAATTTGAATGTGATAACACCTCATTATTGATGTGTCACACTTAGACTTGAACTCAGCTCATTTTACTTCAAACCTAAATATATTATCCACTGACCAACTGAGTCTAAATGGCCACTAACTTTTTCCAACAGGTATCATATACTACAGTTGAAGCTAAATATGAACGTTCACTCTAGGATGTAAGTATAT